GGGGGAATAAAATCGGTGACTTACAGCTCCCTATACAGGCCCCAGTGTTTATTAATGTGACTGGCTGTCTGTGGAGAGATGTGTATCTAAAGTAGTGCCCGAATTTGCATGTCACAACAGCCCACTCTGTGAATAAGCCACACAGAGTGGCTTGTTGCTGAAACAACCCACAGTGTGTCTAACAATGAGATGCACTGTGGGTTGTCCCCACTCCTTTCCTCTTGAGCTTTCCCCAGGCATCACAGGATCCAGCAGCGTTACCTGCTTGTGATCGCAAACTCTTTTGCCATCACGGCATCATCTCCCGCCTGCTTACCCACCAGAAAGAAACCTTTTGTAGAGTTCTCTTTCTGCAGTCTCTGATTTGACAGGCAGTGACAGTCCCTTCAAAGTGTCCAACTGGCATCTGAGTCAGGAGCATTGGGTTCCAGTCCCCACTCAGCCATGGAGCTCACGGGCTGATTTTGGGCCAGTCACAGATTCTCAGGCCAAACTACCTCACAGGGTTGTTGTGAGGGCAAGACTGAGAGGAGAATTATGTAAGTCTTGGGAAAAGGCAAAAAAGGGGGGGAGGGGGCATATGATAAGTAGGCATTTTTTCATTTTCAAAAAATCCGAATCGAACTTGTGTGAAATGTTTGCGCATCTCATTTTGCGGCTCACATTTTGCGTGCCAAATTTCTCACATCTTTGCTCAATTTCCAATACTTCAGCAAATGCTTACAGTGGATGTTGTCGTGGCATGAACACAGCATGCGCCCTGTATGGCTCCCTGAGCAGCTTCTGGTTTGGCAAATATGAAGTGCTGTTAGAGAGCCACGGAGGCCAAAAGAACAGGCAGCAGCCTCAGGGCATGGGCTGAGCTTTGGGGGCACGCCAGCTCTTTCCCTTTAACGCCCTGTTCAGACATGTTCTAAACCCCTTCCTGGGGAGAACTGGGTAAAGATACATCCATTATCTCTTTCCTGACCTCCTTTCTGCTGGTGTACCTATAAATAGGAGTGAAATATATAGTAGAAAAAAGGGCCCTGATTACACCAATGCAAAAATCCAAAGAAAAGTACTGGAGAAACTTACCATAATGCAGGATTCTCCAGCATGGTAGACTGGGAATGATGGGGTTGAAGTTCAGCCCATCTGGAGGCACCAGGTCAAAGGAGGTAGAACCAGACCAAGAAGGGCACTTACCTTCTGTTGAACAAGTCGTCCTATGTGCTGCTCTGTGGTAGCAGCCCATGGTGCACCGGGGCTTGCGGGGGGAGGGGTGCTAGTCCTCACTCAGCACTGTGTGACTCTGGACCAGTTGCTGACTCTCAGCCTAACCCACCTCACCAAGTTGTTGTGAGGATGAACTGGAGAAGAGTGAGGAAGATTGTGCAAGCTGCTTTGGGCTCTGGGCAAGAGGGAAAAAGTTGGGGTACCCATGTGATAATGGCATGCTTGTCCGCTTCTCCAGGAGAGAAGCTACATGCAGGCTTTCCACAGCCAGGCCTCTTGGCATGATCCTGTGTGTGCTCCCCCCGATATGCATTCTGCACTGGGCTTTTCCTCTTCCCCCATCTCTGCATTTTTTTCGGAGACTTTTGCTACCCTCAGCTAGTGGCAATCTGATGCAACATGTTTGTTTGTCTTACAGTGAGTAAATGCAGCTCAGGTATGGTGATTGACGTTCTGTATAAATAGCTGATTTAACCCCCCAGGTAGTCAAAGCAGCTGAACTCAAATATTGGATTGGGAAATGTTTGGGGTGGAGAGAACAGTTCAACCAAGTGTCCTTTGTTTGGGTTGAATGTTCTATGCAAGCAAAGGCAAAGCCTTATCCAAACACACTCTAAGCTTTCTATGTAACTATTCTAAGATGTCTCAAATGGCATATACTTCTTTCATCATTTAAATTTTAATAATCAAGGCATTGAAAACTATGACCATACTAATCTAAGCATGCCCGAAGAGCAGCGTGCATATTTCTACTTGCTTGCTAGGAGCAGCCACTCAGAAAAGAAGTTAATTAAAGCTTCGATTTGAATCCATTCTGGTTGCCTGGTTTTGATGTGTGCGGAGTTCATTCATTATGTCAGGGATGGGCAGAGTTCAAGATTGTAGGCCTACTTTACTTTTTTAGAAGAATCCTAAAATCTGCCAAGACTGGTGTAAAAGGCACATACCCTTGGAATTAAAGAGTTCTGAGGCCAGACAGTTATTTCCAGTGCCAGAACTGAATTGAGTTTGCAGTCCTGTAACATAAAGGGCCAGTCCTAGTTTCTCAGAACTATTTCAGCAGTACTATTTTAAGATGGAGGTGGGGAAAATCATTTTGTTACTACTATTTTGCAACAGATAGAAATCAGAAATCCTTGCTTTCCTGAAGATCATTCAGAGATCTACCCTTTCTCTGTCCCTGCACTATTATGTTGCTAACTCTGAAGCAGAGCGCTTCTGCAAGCCACAGTAGTAGAAAGGCACCTGGAAGATTCCTCCGGGCACCCTGCCCCCCGTTCTCCCTGCCCCAGGTTGCTCTTCACTGCCTCTTAAAGCTTGCTCAGGGTTGGTGGGTGCGTTTAGCTGCTGCTTGGGAATATCTATCTGGAGGGAGGAGGAGACGGAACACCCTGCCATTATTCTTGTGTTCTTATTCTGCTTTGTAATTTTATTTCATCTCTCCTGCACGTTTGTCCAGAAGAAGAAAAGTCTTTCCCTCCAGCTAGATTTAATTCAGCCAGAGACAAAGCTACCTGGGCAATTTGCAGCCAAACACAAATGGGGGCCGCTATTTACCTATTTGTGTGGGTAAATAGCTTTCAGCAAGGGCCTGCCAGAGCAAGTGCAGTGATGAGTGGAATCCAGAGGAGTCAGCTGAGAGGCAGGCGAGCAAGATGGGTTTCCAAAGGCAGGTGACCATGGAGCAAGAGCAGCTGTGATCCCCACAACTGAGCACAGCTCTTTGGCAAACTTCCCGCTTTCTCCATGTCACATTTCATAAGCCCTGCATCAACAGGTTCACCAAGTTCCAGAGCTGTTTCAGCGCTGTAATTGCAAGTTGCTTCTGTGGGCCCATCTGAACTGGGAAGCACCGAGCAGACACAGTGGACAAGTCCCATGTGGCTGCTCAACCACAGGACTGCCCTACCTCGTCCGCCAGCAGTGCAGCCTTTTGCTCTGGTGTTGTCCAGCACTGAACTTCCCTGCCTGCCTGCCTGCCTGCCTGCATTTTGTCTTTTGCAAGCTGAAAGGCACACCCTAGGCAAAGGTGCAACTAAATAGTTTGACTTGTGTTGTGAGCTGCCCAGAGAGCCTATGGCTAATAGGGCACCATATAAATTGAATGCATACATAAAGTAATAATACAGTGGAGGCGAGTGCCATGACACAGGATGGAAAGCTTCCCAGTGCATAATTTTTTCACGGCATTTTTTCCTAATTTTGATAGTAAAAATGAATGGCAGCCAATCACGAGCTTGGCTGCTCAGTACAGATATTTCTCAGTCAGGTGAAACTAAGATGCAATGACAGCAAAATTGAAGGTGCTGCTTTGTCCCTTAATCTGAGTGAAGGAGAGTTTTATTTATTATATTTACATCCTACCTTTTTTCCTTTCAAGGAACTCTGGGTGGCTTAAATAATTTTCTTCTTCCTCTCAGTCTTATCCTGACAGCGACAATCCTGTGAGGTAGGTTGGGCTGAGAGACTGTGACTCGCCGAAAGTCACTCAGTAAGCTGAGCGGGGGCCAGAACTCAGATCTCCGGAGTCCCATTCCCACACTGGCTCTCTTGAACGCTGCTGACATGCAGAAGCAGTTTTCAGCATGTACCACTCTCTTGAGTTTGTTAAAGTTGGCCAAGCTGTGAGTCGTTATCATTACCTTCTTGCTGCCTTAAATTTAAACAATGCAGGCAAAGAATGCACTCCTGGGTTGCTTTTTCACTGATGTTCTGCTAAAAATAGCCACATTTAAATTGTAGTGAGGGTGCAGAGTGGTGAAGCTGCCTTTAACCCTCTGAATTTAGAGGGTTGCACGCATCCTGTGCAGGTCAAGAGGAATCGGAGTGTCACCTTTGTGAACCTCACACTCCACAAAACATTTAAATGGCCAGTTTAAGCCAACTAATGTCAGCACTTTGCAGGGGGAATGAATGAAGACTGGATATGTCATACCTTGCTGGTCCCGGCCTCCTCATCTAAACCCTTCTCCAAGGTTGCCAGTGCAGTTCTTTCCACGCCAGTTGTTAGGGGAGGAGGGGGCTCCAAACAGGGATTTCCAGCTCTGAGTTTTGTAGCTGTTTCCAAAAGCTTGTTGCTTGCTAAATACAAATGAAACAAGCTAAAGGAGAACAACTGCAGGGCAGCAGAAAAGTTTACAGTGTGAACTGAAATGTTTCTGGTGCAAGTTAGCTTATTTGCATTGGGAATTTTTCCAGTACATTTCCCAGTTAAAAATATTCTGGAAAATCCTCATTGTTAAGCAGGTGTATACTAAATTTGCACAATCTACATACTCTTTCCACCCCTGGGGTCCAAGAGGCACAAATCTGAGTCAAATGCAGAATGGTGGCTTGGAACGAGTTTAGATGCAAAACAATAATTCAGAGGTGGAATCTATCCACCATTCTGTTCTTAAGCTTCTTTTGGTTTATCTACTGTTGGAGATTTGGCAAGACATTTCCCCCTGAAACTAGAAGCTCTTCCATTTGGAAGAGTTCTGAGTGGCCTACATTACATTCTTTTCCCTTTGTTCTTACAACTTCCCTGCAAAATAGACTAGGGTGACCTGATTCATTTTCTGGCTGAACAGGGATCTCAGCTGAGGTCTCTGGTTGACTATTCTAGGCATGCTATCATGCTGGCTCTCACTGTTAGCAGGATCCGGCCACTATCCATTTGTTTTAGCTTTACATAGGTGGGGCTGCATTGCTGCACTTAGATGGACGAACTGTACTTTCACACTGGAGCACGTTGCTCATTCCGCTGAAACTCAGGCCTGTTCTTGTTCACTTCTCTACAGGCAGTGCTGCAGCCGTCATGTCAGTCAGCGTCCATGAGAATCGCAAATCCCGGACTAGCACTGGTTCCATGAACATCTTGCTGTTCCACAAAGCCTCCCACCCAGACTGCGTCCTGTCTCACCTCAACACCATGAGGAAGCACTGCATGTTCACTGACGTCACCCTTTTGGCTGGGAATAAGTCCTTTCCATGCCACCGGGCTGTGCTTGCGGCCTCAAGCAGGTATTTTGAAGCAATGTTCAGCAACGGCCTGCGTGAGAGTTTGGGTGATGAGGTGAATTTCCATGATAGCCTCCACCCAGAAGTGCTGGAGTTGCTGCTGGACTATGCTTACTCATCCAAGGTCATCATTAATGAGGAGAATGCAGAATCCCTCCTGGAAGCTGGTGACATGTTGCAGTTCCATGACATCCGAGATGCTGCTTCAGAGTTCCTGGAGAAGAACCTGTACCCTTCCAACTGCTTAGGAATGATGGTCCTTTCGGATGCTCACCAGTGTAAAAGACTGTACGAGCTATCTTGGAGGATGTGCCTGGTCAACTTTGAGACAGTCCACAGGAGCGAGGAATTCAACAGCCTCTCCAAGGACACGTTGCTGGATTTGATTTCCAGCGATGAGCTGGAAATTGAAGATGAAGAGAAGGTCTTCAAGGCAGTCATGCAGTGGGTGAAATATGACTTGGAGAAGCGGAAGCCTTTCCTCCCGGAGCTGTTGAAGAGTGTACGCCTTGCCTTGCTGCCTTCTGAATGCTTCAAGGAAGCCATGACCTATGAGGCTCTGATCACAGAGGAGGAGCAGAACAAGCAAATCATGGACGAGGCCCTTCAGTGCAAGCGGAAAATCCTGCAGAACGACGGGGTGGTCACCAGCCCCTGCGCGAGGCCCCGCAAAGCTGGGCACACTCTGCTCATCTTGGGTGGGCAGACGTTCATGTGCGACAAGGTGTACCAGGTGGACCACAAGGCAAAGGAGATCATTCCCAAAGCAGACCTGCCCAGCCCCAGGAAGGAGTTCAGTGCCTGCGCCATCGGCTGCAAGGTCTACATCACTGGCGGGAGAGGCTCGGAAAATGGGGTCTCTAAGGATGTGTGGGTCTACGACACAGTTAATGAGGAGTGGTGCAAGGCTGCCCCGATGCTTATCGCCCGGTTTGGGCACGGCTCTGCTGAACTAGAGCATTGCCTCTATGTTGTTGGTGGTCACACTGCGGTGGCTGGTGTCTTTCCTGCCTCTCCGTCTGTCTCACTAAAACAAGTGGAGAAGTATGATCCAGTTGCCAACAAGTGGACCATGGTAGCCCCCCTGAGGGATGGCGTCAGCAATGCGGCAGTCGTCAGTGCCCGGCTGAAGCTCTACGTCTTCGGTGGAACCAGCATTCACCGGGATATGGTGTCCAAGGTGCAGTGCTACGATCCAGTGGAGAACCGGTGGACCATCAAAGCCCAGTGTCCCCAGCCCTGGCGCTACACTGCAGCCGCTGTCCTCGGCAGCCAGATTTTCATCATGGGCGGAGACACCGAGTACACGGCGGCCTCTGCCTACCGCTTTGATTGTGAAACAGACCAGTGGACGCGGGTCGGGGACATGACGGCCAAGCGGATGTCATGCCATGCGCTGGCTTCGGGGAACAAGCTTTATGTGGTGGGTGGCTACTTTGGGACACAGCGATGTAAAACACTGGATTGTTACGACCCTACATCAGACACCTGGAACTGTATCACCACGGTGCCCTACTCCCTAATCCCCACTGCATTCGTTAGTACGTGGAAACACTTACCGGCCTGACGGTTGTATGCGGAGAATGGAAGAACCTAAGGGAGGTAAGAGTTGCTGCTGTCACACATCACTTCTACACGTGGCCTGTTTGGGAGAGAAACTGCAGCAGTTCGCAAATACAGAAAATTTGGGAAACCCTGATGTGTGTCTGCATGACTCTCTTGCTTTTGTGCAGTAAACAAAAGGTGTCTGGAACAGCTCTGGAGTGCCCACAGGCTCAAAATGGGCTGATCTCTGACTAAAGGGGCCCACATCCCTGCTCCAGATGCTTTTCCTTAATTTTAGGGGCAAGGGGACTACATGTTTGCCCACATTGGCTTTATGTGGTGGAGGAATCCAGGGGAGAGCCCAGCTCTTAGTTTGTGGAGGAAAACTCCCCCCTTAAAAAAAAAAAAAAACTTGTAGGACTTTATAAAAGTGACAAGTAGTGTTGTGATGAAGTGCCACAGAATCTGTTCCCCTAGCATTTGTGGAACGAAGGGTGCATAGCAGGCACATAACAGGAGAGGGCAATGGTTGTGCAGGGGGGTCACACAGGGCTCGGTTCCTGGTGCCAGGGAAACACTGGGTGCATTTGCCAGGACCTGGAACCCACAGCTGTGACCAAGAGTGTGGGGAGCCGAGTCCAGAGAATTCAGTAGATTCTCTCCTCCAAATGCATCTCTCGCATCTCTGCTGACAAGGATGCCAGTCTGCACTCCTGGTAGAGGGAACAAAGAGGCGCTACAAAGAGTAGTGTAAGAAAGCAAAGGCCTGTTTTGCACTGGAGAGCCACGTGTTTCTGTGGGACTGATCTGGCAATTCCCTGCTGATGGGTTTGCTGCACTTGCTTCCACTGTGCCATGTTGCCTGACAGCTATTGCAACCACATGGACAACTAATGGACTGCCGCTTGGCTATTAAGTACTGTGCAAAGCAAGTGAGAATCCACCTTGCCTTCCTCTTGGGCTGCGGAGCGCTTAAGAGCTGCTTTTGCACTGAAAATTAATTGTATATCACACAGGTGCATCTGCTTATCAAAACAGGCTCTGGGTGCATGTCAGGTCAATGCTGAATATTTTCATAATTCATATAAAGGCCAAGTGTTTAATTTTCTCAACAGTGAGGGCTGTACCCTGGGAAAGCTTCTTAACAACTCAGGCGTTATTATGAGTGCCCTTTTAATGCCTCTTGGTTTGCAAAGTTTCTTTAGTGCCGTGTTTGTGGTTTTCTGGGATCTTATTAAATCCCAGCAGTAAAGTTGTCTGTATAGTCAAATGCCATGATCTTCAAATGCTACTGAGATTGGAACATTTTGAGCTGTAGGGAAATAAATCACTGACTCCAAAGGCCACCAAGTCCAAGGATTTGGAGACATCAGGAAGGAAAACACGTAGCCAAGACACTTCCTATTGTAAGAAGCGCAACTACTCTTTGTTTGCTGTGTCACAGGTACTTTGGGTGGCAACAGGTTTGACACATTGTCGGCCTGCAGTGCTTTCCTTATGGAAGAGGAATGAAATTGTCCTGTTTTAGGCAACCATAGAAGAGAGTCTTTGAAAGACAGTTTTGGGCAGTGGTAAGACAGAAGGCAGATATGCAGCTCCTACCCGACCAGCAATCAGGAATGCTGGAAAGTGATGTCCAAACATTTAGAGAGCGACTTTCTTCTTTCGGGTATCAACCTAAAAACAGAACCAGGTATGAGCAGTGAACATGTAGCTAGAAGGGATATATTTCTGCAAGCAATCTGTTTGTTTAAAAATCCTTTCTGATATTAGTCAGACTTTAGCCATCTTCTTGCCCGCAATGGCTTCCCGTGTACCAGGAGCCCTTGCCTGTCGCAAGGGCTGACCCCACATCAGTCTGAGATCCAGCAGCAGCAGTCTGAGATCCAGTCTGCAGTCCAGCAGCAGCTGTACCATAGCCTTCCAGTCACTGTGTTCTGCTCTGGCCTGTTATGTTTTACAGCCCCTTGGCAGATTTTTTAAAGAAAAGATCCCGGTGCTGTGACCATTCAGACATGGAACCCAACCTTCCAGTTTCAGGGTGGCAGAGGAGAGGACCTGTGTCCTAGGTGGCATTTCCCTGGGTGTCCATTGCATGGGTATGCCCAGACTCTGGTCCACTGACAAAAATGCTTGGTGTTATTTAGTGCATAATAATGGTTAATTAGCAGAATTCCTGCTGAACAGCTTGATCCTAAAGCTCAGATGATCTCTCCCTGCCCCACTTTTCGTCACCTGAATGGACAAGTGACCCATAAATGCGGACTTGTATGAACATCTCCCCTCCCAGTTCCACTTTTAGTCCCCCTGATCTCTGAGAAGCTTTTCTGCTGGAGGCCATCGCTTGCAAGCAATTCCCATGTTGTGGAGATCCCTTAGGAATTAGGGGAGGATTATGCCCCCGAGCCTTAAATTTTTCCTTTTACTTGAGCCCTGCTGTTGGCAAAGAGAGCAAAAAAGGAGAATTGTAACACTCAAGCTCTTCTGAGCCCCCGACCCCAAGACTAGGTCTCCCCCACCATGAGATGGGAGCAGATAAGCCAGTGGCCTCAAGGGAGGGCAAGCACGTGGATGGGTGCTGTTGGGTTGCCACCTGTTTTTCTGGCAAGGCTCCTCTGCCCTTAAAGGTCAGTGACAAATGCATGCTCCTCTCCTTTGCCTCCCTGCCAGAGGAAGTTGCAAAACCATTTCTTTCTCTTCCACAAGCTCCTCTGCTAGCAGGGAGCTGCTGTGTTAAAGAGAGCGTGCCAGAATGCTGGCAGCAGGGGGAAGGATAAGAAGCGCCTGCGGAGCACTGCGTATTACGTGCCGTGTGCCTTGCCCCCTTCAGTGGCAGCACATGCAACTCTTGCTGTGTGTCCCGGAGTTGCTCCTCCACTGAAGTAAACAGCACAACCCTCAGGGACTGGGGCATCTGGGGCTTCGGAGCATCGGGGGGACTCTGGATGCACACCACTGGGAGGTGGTTGCTTAGCTCTCCGCTGCCCGTTAGCTTAGTCGGAGGAGTGGCTGTGGGTTTGTCCTTTGTGGGCAGTTCTAGAACCTGTGGGGTGACACCAGAGTACTCTGGGATTGGAGCCCTGCTCCATCTATAGTCAAGCCATTGACAGACTTCCGGCAGTCGGAGCAGCTCAACTAATTAATAATAGAAAGCTTCTGACAACTCAGCTCCTGTGAAGCGGCTATAAAAGTGGCCAGAGGTCAGGTTTTCTAGAAAGTGATTCTGCAGAGGGGGAGTTCCAGCAGCAGGCACTTTTGCAGGCTTGCCATTTTCCGAATCTGAATGTGGCCATGCTCTGGAGGCAGAGGGCTGCAGGGTCGGTGACGGGAGGTGGAGAGGCCGCCACTGTTGCTGCTTCCTGCACTGGAATCTCTTAAATCTCAAGTTCTCTCCAGCTGCCCAGATCTGTCCCTGTCTGTCCTGTAGCTGTGAAAACCTCCCATCAGAAAGCAGAAGCAACAATTGTGCTTAATACACAGAGACTGGAAGCGGGAGAACTTCCAGGAACATCAGAGGAGACTTGCTGGGTCAGGGCAAGGGTCCGTCTCAGCCTTCACTTGATTTACTAACCACCCATGCAGAATGGACGAGCAAACCTTGCCAGAGCACCCTCTCCCTGCTGCCCTCCGTCGCACGTGTGCCGCTCATCCGGTGGACACCAGATTGTAGCTGGCATCAGGGGCCGGGCTGGGCCTCTTGCCCGTTCTGCTGCGGTCTCCACAGTGGGGTAGCTCAGCCAGGCCTGCCGCCACACCCTCCCGGGGCTGCTCGTCAGCGTTGTCTCGTTTGAGGCACGATGGCCTCTGTGGGAGGAATTCATAGACACCCCGGTATGGCATGGGTGGGGAGGTGGGTGGCTGCAGCAGAAGGGGTGTTCCTGCCAAGGTCTGTGGCTGAAGCCTGTTTGGCGGGCCAAGCTGGTTGGGAGTGGCTGCCTTGGGGAAACGAGCTGCTCACACCGAGCAGGAAAGCCAAGCCGCACACCGGCTGCAGCACCGGAACCCTTCCACGCCACAGCAAGGCGGCGAGGTGGCAACGGCTTCATCGAGTGTTCAGATGTGATGGCCCTGCACAGACCAGGAAGGGGGTGCTGTACGTGTGGGGGACACGCAGGCATTAGTTTGCCCGCTGAAAAAAGCACTGCAGACCCAAGCCCTTGGTGGTGCGGTGAGGATCAAGCCCGGCTCAGCCCTCCCCACGCTCTGGGGTGCTGCTCATGCATTTTAGAAACAGGGCAGGACACACATGCAGGAGGGACACTGGCTTGCTGGGCTCGCTCACGGATTCAGAGAGGGCTGTCTGCAGGTTGCACACTACTTGGTTTGCATGGGTGTGAGATGTCCTTAGAACCAAGGATTTCTGAGCACGTGAATTTGAACCTGTTCAGCAGTCAAAGGCAAGTCTTTCTGTCCAAAGAGCTACTCCTTGTTTTTCAAAGTTTGCTTCAGCTCAGCAGGGGAAGGTAGTTTGCGTTGCTAGTATTGTTTAAATAATTATGAGTCAGAACTCGGAGCAAAATAGGCCGCCAAATAGCCATCCACCCAGTCATCCCAACAGTGTTGATGCAAACTGGCAGCCCTTTGTTCTGCATGCTGTGCTTAGTTCTCCACCCTGGAGGAGCTGGAATGCCCCTGCAAGAGCACATCTCCAGTCCACCTGGGGGCTTTGTGAAGCAGAAATGCAGGCACAGCTCGCCCTGCTGGATCTGGGCAAACATCACTGAAGGATGCAGCTTCTGCTCTGTGCGGCGTGTTAAAGGCACGGTTCACCTGTTTTTGTCACCTTCCCGCTCAGATGATTGTGTGTTCTGCAATCCTTTGCAGAACGAGGTCAGCGAGTTTGGTCCACTAGGACTGTGCCCGACATGGGGTCACCAATAAAACAAAAAGGACAGGCCAGCATCCTTGTAGGTCCTGCATGGTTTGCAAAAGTAGCAAAACTATTTAGGGGGACTTAGGGGAACTGAGCTAATGCAGAGTGTTGCGGTATGGAATTGAGTACTCTGGAAGAGGGCATGGCTGGCAGACTGGCCTCTGAACGCCACACTGCAACTTTCAGTTGAATGTCTTGCTTTTCACCGTAATCGCTCAGTACCTGGAATGACAAGGCAGGGCATTCAGGAACCATCCAGAGAAGTCAGCCAGCCAGCCTAACCTTTCCAAGACCACACGAAGTTGAGCAAACGGGATGTAATGCGCCGTCTCCTTTTCCTCTCTTCCCAGATGCTGCTGCTACTTTCCTGTGCCAAGATGGGTAGAGGGGCCTGCACAAGCGAGTGGAAGTTACTGGCTTTGCTCTCTACTGCCCCTGTAAGGCCTTTTCTTCCCACTGCACCAGAGCAGGAAAGGGTATTCTGGATGACCCCAACCCTAAGCCCCACTGATAGGATGGGGTGGAAAGACTGAGCAGTCCTGTTGGTTCTTTCCGAGGAAGAAGGAGCAAAGTCACAGCCAAGTCCTCCTCTGGAACCTGTAGCTGTACGCAAGCGACTTTGACATCTCCGATCCAGCAAAGGAGCAAGGGCTTCAGAACTTGCTCTCACCATGTAATTGAAGCACAGGCACCTCTGCAAGGGCTAGAACGGTGTTGAGTCATTTTACAAACACTTTTTTGTTTGTACTCTGTCCCTGGGCATTCAGACAATTTTAATTAAACTCTGGGAACCTGTGTACTTTGGACAAGAATTTTCTTTTGAAGTGCACCCATTGGAGGGCTAATAACAGAGCTGCAAGTAGTAATTGCAAGTACACTATTTATTTTCCAGTATGCTACAACCTGCAAGGTTGCAAAGTGCTGCAGTCGCAATTGAGACTTCATGATGCTATTGAAAACCATTCATACATTCATTTGAAAAATGTAACTGTTGGGCAACAGGTGGAGATGCTGCCCCATACTGCAGAATGGGGGGGCTCAGAGTAAGTGCCTCACCCAAGGGACAAATGTCTCTGGCTATTATTCCAAAATTTAGGCAAGATGCATAGGCCAACTAAGAGATCACGAAAAGCCTTTGAGATCTTTATAGAGATGAGGTCACATCATGCAGATACATTGTTGACTTGAGCAGTTTGGCTGCTTGTCCCTGCTCGGCCATGAAGCTTGCTTGGTGGCCCTGGGCCAGCCACGGATGCTCAGTCTAACTTACCTTTTGGGACTGCACTGAGGATCAACTGGAGAGGAAGAGACGACCCACAGCAGAGCCACCTTGCGTTCCTTCCAAGAGACACAAAAGGGGCTGGGTATAAATTTTCTTGAAACAAAACACATTTCCTGCAGCTTTCCTCTGCCTAGAAACACAGCTGTAGGCTCCCCGAGGGCCCCTCAGCCATGCCACTGATGTAAAACTAGCGCAGGCTGGAGTGAAGGGTCAGGGAAGACCAGGTCAAAGAACACTTGACCATGAAGCTTTTCAGACAACCTTGAAGCAATCATGCATGGAGCCCACCTTCCCTTGTGGGGCTGTTGTGTGTGTGTGTGTGTGTGTGTGTGTAGCGGGGATCCAGTGGAGAGGCTGATTCCAACACTCTAGGCACACACTTTGCTCCTCATTCCTATTCCATTCAGCTTCTCAGAGGGGCTTTCTCTGCAAAAAGAAATGTACATTGATATTTTAATGGCAATCTTAGATGTAGGTTAGCAATGCAATCCTATTGATCAACTCAGCCCCAATAGAATCAGCCCCAATCAATAGAAGTTTCTTCTATGTCAAAGAGTTTAGGATTGCATCCCAGGTTATAGAAGAGAATCTGCATATATGCAAGCATAATTTCCATGAATCGCAAAACAATGTCTGGCATCTCTGGACACAGCATTTATTCTTGGAAGCAACATACTGTGTGCTGTATCGATTTCTTCTAGCTTCAAGAATGCATTCACAAACATGTAAAGGTGAGAGTTGAGAGGTGAGCCTTGGCAGGCAAAAAATGGAGGGGTATTTCCCCTCGCCTTTCATCTATCATCTGAAGTTGAATTGGCCTGAATGGCAATTGGCAGTGATTACGCAGCCCCGGTGTGTTGCTAAGGGATTAAGCAGGCAGCTAGGCTGGCATAAAGAGCCTGGCTGATCGCTGAATAATAGAGTTCAGCCAGAGAAAGAGCTAGGGTAGTGCGTGGGGAGAGATGTTTGCATGCTGAAACCCAATCCCAATTTTATTCCCCAAGCTGAAAACAAAAGAGCATTTTACAACCTTAACAGTTGTCCCTCTTTGGGGTCAGACAAGTCCCCTTTTCTCATGACCCAAGGCTGTGCTTCAGATGATGCCCCCTGTGCAAGTCACCTAGCTTGCAATCTCTGGTGTCAACCAGGCGAGAGTACATGGCTGCTCCGGGACCCTTCGGATCTGTCTCAGCCATCCTAGCTGGCTTTCTCTAAACCAGGATACACAAGAGCATAATGTGGCCCCGGTGGATGTCACAGGGCTATTTTAGGAGGATTAACGGGGCAATGGAAAACCGGGATCCACCCACAGTGAAAGTGTAGAAACTTCTACAAGCAGTGAAGATTCATATCCGAAGTTGTCTTATTCAGCAATTTCATCAGCCTCTTTAATTAGCATTGGTGAGCTTTAGAGTGCAAATTTTTGCTGTGCTTTTTTAAGAAACATGAGCTTTCCCAGCATTGCCCAGACAGTGGAAAGGAATGAAAGTGGAAATGTGGAGAAGAGAATGGGCAATTTTCATGCTTGTTTTCCCCTTTTCTTCAGTGTCCATTGAAAGAAGAGAGGTTGGAAATTGATTGCCTCTGAACACAAACCTGTGAATCCCATACTATCACATTGTGACTGTTTCTCACACGGTTGCAGTCAAAACAGCTTTTTTCCAGCAAACCAACAGCCCCTCCTTGAATGAATGCCATTTGCATGCTTCATGTCCCCAGCTCACAGTCCTCCTCAGCTGAGGGGTTGCTGCTCCACTGTCTCTTTAAACAAAAGAAGTCTTGAAACTACCCAGCGTCCACCCAGCATCATGTGCGTGGAAGCAAGGATGAAGTGGAGCAGAACCAAAGATCATTCCAGATCGCCAGAGCTCATCTTGGCTTGCTCCAGAAGTTGGATTGCTTTGGGGTTTGAGTCAGCATCTACCAACGTCGTACGCTCCAGGTGTGTCGGACTGCACCTCCTATCAGCCTCAATTGCAGTCCAGTGCTTCTTGAGGCTGGACAGTTAAGGAAGGCTGTTTTAAGTGCTTAGAGAATACAAACCCTTGGTTATTGGTGAGCGGGGAGAGGCAACTGATCTTTGACGGTAGCTCATCTTTCTGCCCATGGAAACAACCCCTTGGTTTTGCCAACCCAAGGCAGTTTCCAAAATGAAGCCTCTTGGTGCCAAAAGCTCTGGATTGAGGCCTCCACCCATGAGTCAAAGGGCAGGTATGGGATGAATGGAAGTGAAGGAGGTTGGGCAAGCCAGTGCCTACATGCCAGTGCTGCAGCTTGTTTTGCATGGCACCTGTTGGGACCTTTTCATCTATAATGGACGGCTGGACCTGCCAGAGAAGGAAAGCCATGCCTGCACTGATCCTTCTCAAAAGGAGACGAGGCAGTCTGAACCAATATAGCTTTGACAAGAGGTGAAGCTAAAGGGCAACATCACTGTAGAAGATCATTCAAGGTGGCGTCCCAGTAGGGCACTTGAACAGAATCCGAAGCTAAGAAAAATGCAGAGATACAGGTGAGGGCAGGAAGTGTGCAAGAGACCCACTGGAGTTCAAGGGCTGGATGAGGTGGGAAAGGCCCAGAAGCTCCAGAATCTGATGTAAGGGAAAATACACCATAAGAAGGGTGCTGTTGGCAGAGCAGCTGAGACAGGCAAGCAAGGAAACCTCTGTCAAGAACAGCAGGGACCCCATGGGCCAACCTTCCATGTCATATGCATTCTATAATGCACTGCAGTTGTTGCTACATTTTTTCTTCCTATATACTAAGTAGAGTCATGTAGTGCTGGAGTACTAAGGAGAGTGGCCCTAAAATAAATCTCCAGATTGAAGAAATCTTCAGAAATATTCTGTTTGAATGGATGCCCTCTTTCCTATTCTAGGCCTGAGTATACACTGGCATTTTCCTGGATTACTTGCATTTTCATGAGGGAACTGGGCAAGCACATCTTAAGTTGATACCTGCTCGTAGGCATTCCATTCAGATTAAGGCAGACATGGCCAATATGTGTCTCTCATCATTCGACCTGTAACTCTCATCATTCTTCAACATTGTTTATGCTGACTAAGGCTGATTGGAGCAGTATGTCTAAATACCTGGAGGGCCAGAAGTTGTCCAGGTCTGCTTTAGAGCCATCTGCTTTCTGATTCATCATGTAGCACAGAGCTCATCGAAAGTGGCAGAAAATTCCACAATCTGCACATGCAAAGGAATTCAAAAAACGGTTTGACTAGCACTGGAGAGAGCTGCTGCAGGACAGAGCTCATCAGAGTGGCTAGAAGGACCAGTTCGGCATTAACCAGCTTCACATGTTCATACGCAGGAGAGTGAAAGGCACATTCTGTACCTAGCTACCAGTTGCATCAGGAGTAAGGCATTAATCTGGCCAATAATTCCCACACACATACTCAGTCTGCCTCTCCTTGCTGTCAGAACAGACTGATTTTCTACATCCTGATGCCCTCTAGGTATGAAGGACTACATTTCTAATCATCCCAAGCTAGCAAGGGCATTGTGGGATGTGAAGGAGAGAGATTTAATTATTCATGCATGGGGGGGGGACTGTCCCTCCCTACCCCTTCCTTACGCAGCACAACCTTACGTTACAATTTTGCCTCTGCCAACCAAATGGAAACTGGAAGTGTCTTCTTTCTTCTCCCTCTCGTTTGTGGAAAGTAAAGAAACATCTCCACTCTGATGAAGCACGAACAGCAAATTATTAGACTTAAAATCAAAATTTATTTAGAGGGAAGGGAAATGAATTTATAAGTGGTTGTTTCTCACAATAAAGACAGATAAATAAAAACTATTATGAAAATTCAATGGGTTGTTTGACTTTGTTTTTGCAAATTACAGAGGAAAAAATGAATTTTTTACAGTCCGTGATCTACTTAACTTTTTACATAGTTACAAATTAACATGTAGCAATTTAGGTTTTCCTTTCTCTCCCTCTCCGATGTACAATTTTTAAAAGTGTTTTGTTCAGGACAGGATAGATTTCCCCCAGAAATAGGCAACCCAAGTGAGAGGATCATGTCAACACATTTCTATCAGACATGCTAGTGCATTCCACCCTTGTCCAAAAGAATTTATCATGACAGACTTTGAACCGTAATCAAACTGAACAGGAAGAGAACTTTGCATATGAGAACTCCTAATGCCTGCAGCGTTTGTTCAGATATTACAGAAAACTACCTACCTCTATGTAACATAATGTGGAATACAATCTCCTTTCTCTGAGAAGAAAAGGAACCGAAGCAACAGGTTTTTGGCTAAGAAGTTCCCACCTCAAGTGAGATCTGTTTTGCTCCCACTGTTTTTTGCACCATTTTGCACCCATGCAAAGACCAGTGGATGCAAATAACACAAGATCGAACTATTCACTTTGTACTCCAGAGGGGAAACATACACACCTAATTGTGGATTGTTGCCTTTGGCATGGACAAAAATGGCATTCCAGTGCATGTGCCTGTGAGGACACGCATGTGTAAAGGAGATCTTCCGTTACTAAATGTAGATGGACACAAGCAATAGTTTTGGAAAGAATTGAAAGAAACTCAAGATAAGCCTTGCTTTTCATGTGTTACACACATTGTTTTCTTCACTACCATGTCCAAACAAGTTTTTTGAAAGCCTGAAACTTCTAAATCCTATTAGCACCAGCAAATGTGGGGTAAGCATACTCCTTGAGAACTGTGCCCAGTTTTCCATTCACCTTCAGTTTTCTGAGAAAAGCATTGTCTGTCTCCAAGCCTACGGCCCCTGTTAGGCTTGCTTTGGTGAAAAGATGCTGCATGTTAGAGGTTGTTCCCTAGCAGTGGTCCCTGCAGTGGTTGTTCCCTAGCATTTAATGCTCTGCAGGCTGTTTTTTTATTATTATTAATATGGTGCATCAATAATCAATATTTACAAAAGAAATAAAAAACACATACTTTGGGTTTCACAAGCCCAGCTTAAAAATAAGCAAACACAAAACAAGAAAAGGAAACTTAAGTAAATGTTTTTCTTTTTTTTTTAATCCAGACCTCTTTCAAACAAACAGAAAGATTTTTTTAATGCAAGCCCAGCTTGCAATCAAGAACAAGCATCATTAATAATAATAAAACCACAATGAAAGTAGAACTTTGTTTTTGCTGCCTCCCACTTTGCTTTTGGGGCATAAATTCTTTAAAGAGCTTCAGATTCAGCGGAGCTGCTAGAGGATTCCTTTGCTGGTTAAGGAAAACCTGACATCCCTGCTGTAGTCCCAGCACTGAGGGCTTGTGACAGAACCCTTCCATGCCGGTTTTGCAAGTTCTGAAAATAACTCCCGAGATGCTCAAAAGGGAGAAGGCATTGGGACAATAGTGCAAACCGTTGTTTTTGAAAAATAAACCTGAAGAGGTGGTAGGAAAAGAAACCTTCCAGATCCTTCATGGACTGGGGGTGTGTGATCTCACTCAAGCTGTCTACTGGGGGAAACCTCTGGGGTTGAAAATACTATAGCTGGGGACATACCTTCCCTTGGCATCTCTGTCTTTAGGAAGTCCTCATAAGCGAGGCAATAAATTTGCCATGGCACAAAATACAAGGCAGAACTTTCCTTCATCCAAACCCCAAGTTAGCCATTTGTACTGGGTCCTGCCCTTCCCTGGCACACTTCCTCCTCCCAGGGCAAGGAGGCGCACAGCTTAACCTTTAACGGATGAAGAAACCAAAGTCCTCCATGTTTGCAGAAACTGGCCCCAGAGTGTGCATGCATTCCACCCAGAGGTTCAGGCATGTTGATTCTGAAACTGGGTATATTGTTACCCATGGGGAGAACAGCAATGGCACCATCAGGTGTGAATTTGGAGCATGTATCTGTTGGTGCTGGTGGTGTGTCAGGAGGAGACTGGCTCTCCCTCTATGAACTCAGCCAACAGGTAAAGAAGGGATTGGAGGATCTGCATGAAGAACATTGCCTTGTCATGCTTGGGTATTTGCTCTGCCACTTAAACATTCATATGCATGACTAGGAAAAATCTGGTCTTGAAAAAATGATCTTTTGCTGAACTCCTTGGAAACTTGGATAGAGACATTTCTGAGCTGGAAAATTTATCATGAAGTTGGTTTTTTCTACTCCTCATTCAAATTTGAAAGGGATATTGTGTGAAAACTTCCATGTGGAAGGATGAAACCCATCAATTCCTGAAAAATATTTTTTTTCCACAGGAGGGGCTTTTCTAAACCTTATGAGAGCAAATTCATTTCAAAATGGCGGTGACATACTAACACAAAGTGATAGAACAGAGTTGGGAATTTTGAAATTCTTAACTGAGACTCCGTCAACAAGGCTGTCCTACAAAATGAATGAAGTCAGGGAAGTTAAGCAGACGAGAGACAGAAGTCCTGCATCACTGTTATGCTTCTGCTTATACAGCTGAGTTCCTATCCAATGTGTAGACACTCGCTTCCCACAACCCCCATGTCTTTAAAAATGGTTCCTAGCATGGAGATGCAAGATGATTTGGAGAAAGAGAAGATGTACACATGGACCTGGTCAGAGAAGCCAAGGGAAGAATTTGGGATTTTCCGCTTGATTTTGGAAATCTATCACCACATTGCTCAACTATCTCTCGTGCGGATCTCTCCAGCACATTAGCAGCTTTCCAGTGGAAGCTCCTTGACACTGAGAGCAGAAAGGAGTTCTTATGCCAAGAAGTCGGGCTGCATCCCGTTTTCAAGTCAAATAATGCTGAGATGGGCTGCTGCAGTTTTGAGGTGGCTTCTAAACCAGCCTATCGGGTTTTTCAGAGGACCCCTTTCATGTATTTTATTTCAGCTTGGGAGTCTTGGCCAATTTGCATACATTGTTTTCTGTCAAGCAGAACATTCCAGATAATTTCCCCAGAACAATGCACCTAGTCTGAAAATCCCACCACCAAAGCCATGCCAGGTACACATTGGTCCTCAGATTCTTTAGTCAAAACTCCCCCTAATAAAGTGGAGTTGGTCACTCTGCCACTGCCTGGCCTTTGTCTATTCTCAAAATACAGATATGGAGGAGGTGCCAGTGGCAAAAGCATTTGAGCCAAGCATCAAAAAGGAAAGAACTATTTAATATTGATACAGTCCCTGAACACTTCGTAAGGTATCATCTAACCCTTTAAGGGCTGAGCTAAGCTCACCCAGCTTTTCTGTACAAAATTAAAGCATATCCCAAAGGATATACAGGTACATTTATTTATATATGTATATATTTATATAAGTATTTATATACACAATTTATCTATATATACCAGTGCACAAACACTGCTTGATGAGCCCTGACTTTTGCTCTGAAGGGCTTCTATGTTTGGCGGTGTTCCCCTGGGCTGTCTCAAGACACATCTTCCTCATCTTTGGACAGCAGAGGAGAAACATGGAGCTTCTGTCTAGCCACCATTGCACACGGGGTGGAATCTTTCTCAGAGTGGGTGCAGCTAAAACCGAGCCCGCCCGGTCTGGGCACCTCCAGAGTTCCTTCAGAAGTGTTTGTTCTCCTTCCTCTGTGCATTCAGACACTGCTTTAAATCATCGTGGATCCAGGAAAACAGAATGATGGCCTCACCCTGACGGGGTGAAGAGAGAGGGGAGGTCAGCAGAAAATCTCCTCACCTTCTGGTGCTGCTTCTGGGGAGTGAGCATCTGAGGAGGGAAGGAACCAGAACAGAAACATCAGAACCACACTACAGGGCCAGACCTCTCCTCCTCCTTTCCCCTACTCAAAAGCTTGTCCACACTCCAAAAGCAACCCCCATTCTATTTCCATGAATGGAAAAAGGAAGCAGGCTTATCCCTTTGCTTTTTCACTCTGATCTCTGTCGTGGCCCATACTTGGGGCTCGAGCTTAGCTGCCAGGCTGCCCAGCACCAGAGATCCAACTCTGGACAAAGTAATCAAGAGGGCCTCTGAGTGTATGCTAACTACATTTCTTCCTCTATAGGAACAAAGTAGTCTTCTAGATGGACTGACTTGAAACCTAGTCTCTCTGTTCTGAAAATTAACTGCTGCCCAAGTCAGCCAGGAGCTCATTCATTCATACAGGGATTTCTGGCAAGGCCGAATGTGGACATGGGAGATTCTCCAAAACTGCCTCCAGCCCCACCGATAGGCTGTCAACTGCTGTGGGCTGTGAAGACTAGCGACTAGCAGAGCATCACTGACTGTGCTCTCAGTGCGCATCACATCCAACAGCGGCACCAATTCCCTACCACCTGCCCAAGAAAACAGCTGCACGGAGTTCAGGCTGGGATGCGGACTGGAATCCTAATCTGAAGACTCAACGGGCCTTTGCATGTGGCCTGCCCTGCCTGCTGAAACGGTCCCAACTTCATGTGTTGCTGAGGGAAGCTGCTGGGCCAATCTCCCAGCCTGGCAGGAGGAGGTGTTCCCAGTCAATCCACCCCCTTGACTCCTGAGACCTGAAGAAGTGTGTGGCCAACTCAGAAGAGCCCCTCGCTTACCAGCCGGCTGTGAGCGGTGCCCCTTGCCCTTTTTCTTCTTCTCCTTCTTCTCTTTCGGCTTGGCCAAGCCGAAGAGGCGGGTGGGGGCCTGGCCATGGCCCTCCACTGGCTTGATGGACTGGCCCGACGACGTTGTCCCGATCAAGTGGAAGGCGCTCTTCTCCTTGTGTGTCCTTGAGAGGCTATTCCGTTTGGGTGATGCAGGGAGCTCCACGTCCAACTGGCCCTGCTTTGGCAGGGAGGAGCTCGGGTGCCGGAAAGAGGGGTCCATGGTCTCGGGAAGGGAGGGGGTCCTGGCGATTTTGGCATGCTGGTTAGAAAGCTGCAAAAATGAAAAATACCAGTCAGATGAGAGGCATTCACTGGGAAGGCACTCCTCCCTTGCTGTCATTCTCCCAGCCTCCGTAAGACCCTGGGGGAAACACCAGTTAACTATCATCCCAAGTCGCAAACAGATGGCTTTGTCTCCTATCAGGGGCCATCAGCACACCTGGATGTGGAGAACTATCAATCTGTCCCAATGGTTCTCTTTCCTTCCAAGTAGCTCTACATCTCCTGTCTATTCCTGGGTCCAAAAACCAATCCATAAGAGCATGCAGGGTGTCCTGAATGAAAAGTGGTGGGAGACTGATGACTCGGGAAAGCACCACCAGCTTCTGCACCCTCTGTCCTTTTCCCTTCCTTTTACACCACTCCAGAAGCCAGGCAAGGGCTACAAACCTATCAAGTCATCAAACCTATGGAACTGCCTATTGCTATTCCCCTTGCCTCCTCTGTGAAGGCATTTGACAAGATCTAAGACTGCAATGAGTGAATACAGTGAATTCTCAAATTAGTCTGTAAACCTGCTAACAAGCTATTCTGTCTTGGAATCTTCCCTGGCTCTTGCCTGTACACCGCCATGGGGGGATGCAGTCCAAGAAGCAACCAAAATACTATTAAATAAACATATGAAAAAGGCACCAAGTATTTGATCTAAAAGTAGGGCCTGAAGTCCACCCAGCCTGAAACTACAGAAATTGGAGCAAGCAGTCTTTCAAAGAGGCCGGCCCACTATTCGTGATTTTCACAACAAGGTACCTTGATGAATTTGCAGGGAAACGCAGAGTTTCCCCAAACACAGTTTGAAAGCCACTGATTTGGAAATCTGTATGTTGCACCTCAAGCCCTGGGGCTCAACTGGGCCCTCCTGTCAGGCATGTAAGGCCATGGCCCTGCGCTATCAGGAACGACCGTCAGGTAGAAAAAGGCCAGTATTCTGGTCACAGCCCCTTTGCCTCAATGTCCACCCCTCACATTCGGCCCCACCAACTCCTGGGAAGTGGTCCCCAGACCGCCTCCAAAAGCAAATTCCATTCTTGGGATGAAGGAGCTTTGGCCCCTGATCTGGCGTCGTCGTTTCCGCCACAGCTGCCTCCATCCCGCATGCCCAGAAAACGCTCAGCCGGTCAGGGGGCCATTACCAGGCCAAGCCGGGGCTCTGTCTGCAGCTGGGAAAGCTGCTCCATGTCCCTGCGCAGCTGCTCCTTCTCCTTCTCCAGCTGCTTCTGGGCTGCCCGGAGGTGCTCCAGGTCGAGCTGGTAGGCGGCCTTCTTCTGCTGCAGCTCCTCCCGCTCCTTCTCCAGGCTGTGCAGCCCCTTCTGGACCTGCTCCTCCTGCTGGGCCAGCTGGCCCTCCCGCTCCACCAGCACTTCCTCCCGGGCCTCCCACTCCCTCTCCCGCCGCCGCTTTTCCTCATGGTGCTGGGCCTGCTGCTTCTGCAGGTTGGCCAGCTCCTGCCGCTGCTTCTCCAGGCTGCGCTGCTTCTCCTGCTCGATCAAGGAGTTGGGCCGGAAGGAGCTGCGGCTCAGGGCGCGCTCCATCAGAAGCTGTTTCTGGTCCTCGATGAAGGTGTCCTGCTGCACGACGACCGCCTGCCAAGAAGGGGCGGCCGTTACTGCTGCGGAGGGGCTGGCTCAGCCCCAGAGCACCCGGTCCGTTCCCAGCACCTCCTGTAACGCTCGCCTCTGCAACCCCGAGGAGGCGCTGCCATTCTCTGTACGCCAGACGTGCTTGGAACCTAACGCTGTCCAAATACGATGGCCGCTGCGATCCGGCAGAGCTGGAGGGCAGCAGCTTAGCGGGGAAATGGTGTGGGTCTTGTTGTGCTACATGGAACAAGGGACCGCTTGGGCCCAAGGCAGCTTCTCGGGAAGGGGCTTTCCGTGCCACAGGGCCAGTCCTGGGTGGGGCTGCTTGCAAGACCTATGCCGCCCCCTCCCTCATGCAGGCTGCCCCCTCCCCAAGTGCTCCCGCATTTCCCTGGCCGTGTTTTGGGATATGCCCTCCTGAACTCGGTACCTTCCAGTGGCACTGGACTGCAATGCCCATAATCCCCACTCAGCATGGCCCTTGGCCACCAAATCTGGGAGCTGCCATCAAGCACAACTGAAAGCCACAAGGCTGGGGAAGTCTGCCTTGCCACAAGGGCTCTCCCACCATCCACCCAGAAGATCATCTTGCTTTACTCCAGCCCAGTCACAGGTACCAGCCCAGCAGACTCCCTTATGACGCCCTGGAAAATCTCATAATTTAAGGAAGGCCTCCAGAATTTCCAGGGTATTCAACTGATAAGAACTGGGCTGAATTGACTGATGCTCGCTTTGGCTGCCGATTTTCCATTTTCTGCATTTGGTGCTCCTCATACTATGGAGAGCCCCCATTCAGCTGAAGTGCCACTTGCGGGGGGGGGGGGGCCTGGAGAGGCTTCATTCATCATGCAGTCAGGGAAGCCATATGCCTTCCAGCGTGTGTCTCCTGGAATTACCTGCAACGTGCTCAGCAAGCTATGGAGGTGAGTGATGCTCTGAAGAACTTGCTAGAGAAGAATAAAGAAAAGCCAAAGAGGGAACTGCTGTTAGCTGGCAGCCAAATTCCTTGCTACAGTTGTTTCCTGCCCTTCGCCCTTCAAGGACCTCGGCATAGGCAGAGCTCTACAAATGGACGCCTGGCCAGTGCTGCTCACAGATTCACCACACATTCTCTGGATGCAGAGGTGTCCGTGGTGAACAGGTTCACACATGATACTAGCTCATAGTTTATTTAAACCACGGGCTGTTGCCTACTCAGGGTTTGCCTGGTAGATGAACAAACTGTAGTTTATTTTCTTAATTCCTGGGTTGTTTGTTTCCCATCTTCTTTACCTGCTCCTTTCCCTTTCCCCCAAAAGCCTGGTGGGGGTGGAAATACCATTCTTACCTACGGCTTCTGTAGTCTGGCATCACAACCCGTGTTTCTGCATTCACTCATTATAATAACCCATGGTTCAGACAAGTCAGAGTTCACAACCACAGGTACTCTTTCCAGATTATTTATGTTTATCAAACTGGGGTTAGCATGCTTCTGTTCAGACATCATGATAACCCACAATTCAACAACTCATGGGTTAAATAAACCATGTGCAAACCAAGTCATCATCTTAAGTCTTCTGTTGATCTTAAAAAAAAATACTACTTTATTTGACCAGTTATTTCCATTTGCTGCTCTCGGAACTGCAAACCTGACAAGCAGCTTATAAAAGGAAGGGCAGTAGATAAATGTCCTTCACCACCAGCAGCAGCATTCTACAAACAGGATGATGCCCAGAGGTGGATGACAGACAATGTGCAAGGAGCTGAGTCAAGCAGAGTACTCACACAGCTCCTAGAGGAGTAGAGATACAAGAGTACAGCTAAAACAGTCAGGGAAATATTTCTTGGGAAATATGGAAAAGGGACTGATTGGCTACATGGCTCTAGTCTTAAAAATGCTGGACAGCCTCCAAGACCATGACACAGAAACCTATGACTTGCCCACTGCTTAACTCAGGAATGGGAAGATTCCCAGCTCCCATGATCCTTGACCAATTGCCGTACTGACTGGAACAAATGGGGTCCAACAGGTTTCCCACCATTCCTTAGTCTTACAACACCCCTAAGAAGTATGAGATTCAGCAGAGAGATGGCAGCTCACTGAGCTGACTATTCTGCTAGGTCAAGCATTTGTTCTCAGATACTCCAGCATGCAGGGTTACAACCAAAGCTTGTAAAGTTGCATGGAAGAACATTCTGGCAAATTACCAGCAGAAGTATTCTATTAGAGAGGACTGTTTGGTGGAGCAGATTGCTCCAGGAGGTGGAAGGTTGTCCTTCAGTGGAGCTATTTAAACTGAGGTTGGATGGCTATCAATCAGGGATCCCGTAGCTGCACCCTCTGGTGCCAAGCCTTTGTTGAGCAGTGAGTGTCACTGGTTGGTGAGGTGTGCAATTTGTGGCCCTCCAGAAGTTTTGGCCAACAACTCCCTTCATCCCTAGCTGGCCAAAACATCTGGAGGGCCATGAGTTTCCTCTTCTTGGACTAGATGATCTCCAGCTTTCCTTCCAACTCCATGGTTCTATGATGCCTAGGTCAGACATCATAGAACCATGATGTGAAGGCTAGGTCAACCTTCCCAGTGAGACACAGTTGTGCCCCAAGGACAAAAAGTGATGGAAGGCTTGGGTGTGAGGAGTCTATTTGTATCTAGAAAAATAAGGAACTGCCCCAAATTCAACAGTCCCCCCCAAACCAACATCCCACCCCCCCAAATAAGGCCAAGTTAGAAGAGAAGTTCTTACCTCATTGTTCCTTTTCAGGACAAACATCAAATTGGCCATTCCTCCCTAGCAAGAAGATTGAAATAGTCTTGATGAGAAAGAGGCAAAGGAAGGCCAACAATAAAAATGGCCATGGAGAGAAACCTTACGTACCTTCCCCAGTTTGGTGCCCTGGCTGGAATGCAAGTTCTACCCCAGCACAGTGTTGGACTACAATTATCCCCTGTATGGTGGCCATGGTTTCGGCAGATGGTGGGAATGTTAGACTAGCACAATTGCAGCTGCTGAAGGCTGCCTTAAAGAATTGAATTGTTAATGATGGTTCAGCCACTATTGTGCAGTCTGAACCTCAGAACCAGCTCCAGGTTTTAGGGGCCCCTAGGTGTTGCTGAGCTTCTCACTACTGTGCAGACCACCACTCCTGTTGCCACTTGGGTCCTCATCCTCAGCTCCCATCTGAAGAATGACACTGCAAGGCAGAAGTACAACCAGTGGAGGGGCCTGATCTATGGTGGGCCTAGCTGGCATTACTCTTGGCAGGTCCTGTGCTAAGTCCTGGTACTGGACCATGGCTCCAAGGGTGCCACATACCCAAAGAGCAGAGCTGGGCAGCTGGCAGCAGAAATTTGAAACAGAGAACATGCTTATCAGTTTGCAGATGAAAGGTCCTTACCAGAACTACTGTCTTGCTTATGACACAGTAAACGGTTTAGAAAAGGAGACATACAAATAAAGGCCTTTTTAAAAAAGGAGTTAGTTGCATGTCTCCAGTGTGGGTGGTATGTTTTCTCTGCTTTAATTACAGGCCCAGGCATTCACAGTTTTCGGGCTACAAAGGAAATGGCTGTAAACCAATCCAAGGGCCAAAGGAAGTGATGGGAAGCCCATGGGAAGAAGCCACCTTCAGGGCACTCGCAAGAATGGCCTTCCCCAAACTCCTCCTGGGAGCTGCAGGTGGGATCTGCTGCCCGGCACGCCAGGCGGGCGTCCAGTTCAGGGAGGCTGTCTATTCCGATTGGCAGCAGCTCTCTAGGGTCGCAGACAGCCTGCCCGGTTCCTGCCACTGGAGATGTTGGGAGCTCTGGGCCGTCCACGATGCCATACCTTCTTCAAAACACTGTCGGACTCTGTTCTTCGAAGATCCTGCACTTCATCTCCTTCATCCTTCTCCCCTCCTGAAAAAACAAAACCCAGGAGTCGACCTGTGAGCTTGGCTGAAGCCCTTCGCAGCCCGGGACGCAGGCGCAGCCTCTCCCGTGGAACTCACCCTTGCAGGCGCTCATCTGGTGGCTGTCAAATCCTCCAAAGGTCTCTGCCCTCCTGGGGAGGGAGACGGGCCCCACGCCCTCCTGCTCCAGGCCAAGGCTGCTCATCTGTTGCCCAAAGGCACTTCCGAGGCTCCTGCTCACGAGCCCCTGCAACAGCTCAACTGGAAGGAGGGAGAGCAATGGTGGGAGACACCGAAGGAAGACTAGCTTGGATCTGGTCTGTGGCTGCAGAGCATTTCAAGGTTAAGAGGAGACCAAGGGACCAAAAAAAACGACGACCCGGGGGGTCTCACAGCCCCGTAAAGAAAAGCAGAGTCAGCATGGCCAGTCATGGCCCAGGGCACACGCTGCCAGCATAGCACGTTACTGTGTAGGCCAGTCAGAGCTGGTGGGACCCATTCGCTTCAGGTACTGCACCAGCAGATCAGAATGAGTGGCGTAAACCCCACCTGAGAGGGAATCACTTTCTGGAGTGACCTGCCCACAGCCTGCTAAATACCCCCATGAGACACAGTGAAGGGCGGGATATAACAACTTGGGACGGACAGATGCCATTCTGTTCACCTGCAAGGTCAGTTCCCAGAGGGATCAGAGCTGCCTTGGGTGCCCTTCTGAACAGGCCCCGCTGGCCATAAAGTAAATAGCCAACGTATTCTTAGGATGCTACAACATGGCTGCTGTTTCTCTCTCCCTATAACATCAGAGGAGAGGGCCCTGCCCTGAGGAACTTCCAAACCAGGTTGACAAAGAGGCAGAGAGAGAGGAAGAGGAGGAGAACAAGGAAAGGGTGTGAGTGATGCAGAAGCAAAACTGTAAGCACTGAGGCTTAGTTTTGCTATGGGGTGAAGAGTGGAAAGAGGCTGGGTGGGGTTGGGGGTAGAGTGGGGAGGTGAAGAGGGCACCTGTACAGGTTTTGTGACTGGAGAAAGCGCCCTGGCCTGGACCGAGGGCCCGGGCAACGCTGGTGGCCACTTGCAACCTCAAGATCTCCCCCATGAATTCCTGAAACGTGCTGGGTTGTTTGCCAAAGAAAAACTCAGCAGTTCTGAGCCAGGATGTACCTGCACACACCACACCTCCATCACCCCACATATGTTCAGCCTAGCCTGGATCACACTCCTGCCGGGGGAGAGGGTCCTGAGGGTGACTGGGGGGCGGGGGAGATGAGGGGCCAGCTTACCTTCATTGATCACGCTCTTCATGATGCTTTCCCCCTTGGGGGCTTCCTCTGTATTGGCCCGGAAGAGCGCCCTGGCCCCCAGGCTGTCTTCGTGCCCGCTGCAGTCCGTCAAGTCCCGGAAAATCTTCTCCTTCTCCTCCAGCAGCGTTATGATCTGCTGGTCTTTCTGCTGGAGCTGCTCTGTGGGGTGGACGGGGGTGTGGGAGAAGGTGAAGGCCAGGCATGCAGAACGCCGGTGCGACACCTGAGCTCAAGCCCCACCACCTGGCATGTCAGGGAACTGCAGGCGGCATGCGCACCAAAGCTGCCCTCTGCGGAAACAGGCATGGGCTCTTCCTGCTTGAGCTGTTCGCGCTGAGGGGCAGCGGCTGCTCTTGGAGGCGCCACAGCCACTGTCCCGGACCTTTGCGCAAAGCACCTGCTCTGCCACTGAGTCACAGGCTCGCCCATGCGTGTCTCGCACAGCTTTCCCACGGGAACAGACCGCTGCCACTCATAAGAACTGACTGGACAAGTCCAGTCAGACAAAGGCATTACTGATACCCGAGCAGAGCTGTGCCTTAGGGTCCCATTGCAGGAAACCTCGGATCAAGGCCCTGTCCGGCCATGGAGTTGAAGGGGGCAGTTTTCAACACTAGAACCAGAATCCTATTTTAGGCCAGTGTTCGAGCCACAGTGCTTTTTTTTACCTTTCAGTTCCCTGGCTTTGGAGTCTAGCACTCGCTTTTCCTCTTCCAGCTCGCTTGGGACTCCTTCATCTTCTTCCTTATCCCTGCAGGAAAGGCACAGACTGAGAAAATGGATAAATGGAAGGGCACGGCAGAAGAAAGGGCTCATCAGATGCCAGGTGCTCATCAGATGCCAGGTGCTCAGAAATGGCCTGAACGACTTATCTCCTAGCAGCACTGCTCCAAATTTGTTGGGAAACAGCAAATGCTTTCAGAGGAAGGCCAAGCTTTCAGTTTAGGCAGGGGTGTGGACAAGAGTCAGGATTTTAGAAGCCCAATCTTGACTACATTTAACTTTCCACCATATTAAGCCTAAGAAATTCATATCTGGCCAATTTTTCAAATTGCAATCGGAGATTGTGTGCTTTTGCACTGGCTGGGGTTTGTAACATTTTTATTTATTTATTTTATTTTTCGATTTAGATCCTGCCTTTTTCCTACAAAGGGCTCAAGGCAGCTTACATCATTCTCCTCCTCCATCTTATCCCCACAACAACAACCCTGTGAGGTAGGTTGGGGTGAGTGTCTGTGACTGGCCCAAAGCCACCCAGTTGGCTCCATGGCCGAGCGGGGACTAGAACCCAGATCGCCTGAGTCCCAGTCCCATGCTCTTAACCACTACGCCACACTGGCTTTGTACACACCACATTTTTCAACATATAGCATTTTATAAATATTTCAATGCCACTTGTAGTGAACTTTTTTCATTCCCGTTATAAAATCTGTTTTCTTTGATTCATAGTGAAGACCTAGCAGTCAATTCTAATATTTAACCCTTTTAAAGGTGCTTAACTGTATGCATGGATACCTTTTATTTATGTAAGAGTTACATTTGACTAGTCTATCAAACAAAATACAGTTAATTGATTATTACACTGCAAAAGCACAGTGGATCACTCATAACAACAACCATAGCAAGCTGTCAACCCAGCTCAGGTACACGCACTAGTTTTCCTTTCCGTGCGTCCATCTGTCTGTCTTTCAGCAAAAGGGTCTGTGCATTGGTAGGCCCAGCAATTACAGAGGCCTATTTCACAGTAAATAGCAAAGGTGTGCAGGAACCTTGACTTGGACAGAACTGTAGCTATTTTCTTCCCTTCCACAATTGTGAAAGCATGAAAATGCCTAACTTAGGAACCCTGGAAGCTACCTTATGCCAAGCCTGCTGCACTAGCCAGGTGCTGTCAACATTGGCTGGCCGTGGCTCTGCAAGGTTTCAGGTAGGATCCTTTCCTGGCCCTGCCTGGTGGTCCCTGGGACTTGAACCTGAGCTTTGTATAATGCAAAGCAAAGCCTTTGCCCCTTCCCTGTGAACTCTCCTGAACGTTCACTTGGGATCTCTTCCAACCACAACAGGCCCACATATGCCACACGCATGTCTCCTTACATTGTGTTGATTGTGTCCTGAATGCTTTGTATCCAGCTGTTGCGTTCCTCCTTAGAGCTGGCATGAACCTCCACCATCTCCGGGTCTTTCCCTCCCATGCTAATCAGGAACAAGCCCTTCTCCTCATGGGCGACTTCTCGAACAATCAGCTTCTTCAGCGAGATCACTGTGGATTTTTGATCCTTTTGTCAGACCGGAGAAGGGGAGGGATAGAGAAGAGAGAAAACAAATTAGTTTTCATCTCACACCTTTGGCCATTAGTCAGCGCAATATCCCAAGGTTTGACGGAAAAGGCGATGTCTTGGGAGCACAGGAAGCGCCCTTACACAGTGTAGGACCACTGTTCTCCCAGCCCGATGCTGCTGCCCCAAGTGGCTGCAGCTTGCCAAGGCTTCCAGCTGGATCTCTTTCCAATCCACCTGAAGGTGCCGGAGAACAAACCTGGGACCTTCTCCATTAAAAGCAGGTGCTCTGCCACCGAGCGATGGTGCCTCCCCTAAATGCTGGCCCTGAAGCCACACACTATCACAACACACGGGAACTAGAGGAAGCCTTTTCTGCCTTAACCGTTGCACGCAAACACCACTGGTTCTCTGCTGTCCCAGTGACTCCTTCCAAGTTCATCTTAAAAATGGACTGGGGAGAGTGTTCCACAAACCTGCAGGCCCTGCCTGCATCCTCCCTCAGCGGATCTCAGGACCACGGCTGAGAGCAGAGGGGCTTGCAAAGCATGCCAGTGAGCTTTACAGGGGAGGAAAAATGACACAGCAGAAAACTTCCTGGCCCAAGCTCTTCACCACCACATGGTACCAGTTCCTCTTGAGCCTACACAAATAACTTTTGGTGGCTGGAGTCTCTCCACCCTCACCCGACTGCAAAAGCGCCAACCTAGCCAGTCAGCCAGTGTGAAAGAGAAGCTTTTGCTTCACCGGGCTCCAGGAAACCCCCGGATCAAACCTGTGTTCCCCGATAGCTAGGCAAGCCCTTCCTTCTGCAGGCAACGGGGCAGTTCAGTTTGCAAAGTTAGAGCACATGCACGCACCATTGGGATCACCCCAAACAAGTCTGTGAAACTGTTTTACTTCTTACTAAATGCTGTTTCATTGTTTATTATTTATTTAAAGCATTGGCATGCTCCTTTGCATGGTCCACAGTTGTTAAGAAAGTAAAGCAGTGGAATAATGCATTAAAAAAAGCTAAGAAAAGTTTACGTAGAGGAATCAGGGGCCAAAATCATCTCTTTTTTTGGCCAAGGATCCAGGATATTTCCTACAATGTGAAGTATCATTTTCTTTACTTCAAAGTGAAGTAATGAAATGAAATAAAACAAGGATGCACTTATAGCTAAGTGAAAGCAACTTTTGTTTTAAGGGTGGAAGAGAAAGCACTGAAGATCTTACCAGAGATGCAAATACATATTTCTGATCCTTTTCCTGAAGGAATATTAGAACATCTGAGAGAAGAACAGCTTGGACCTCTGGCAATGAGAGAGAGAGGAAAAAAAGAAAAACATCATAATGTAAAAAACCCAATGAGCAAAAAGCCACACACATCTGTAGAGGTGAGTTGTCCTGCCAGCAGCTAAAGATGGCCTGCTTCCCATGATGCGGCTTTTCAGTAGAGGGAGGGAGGCGCAAATCATGCTCACAACCAACATTTAGGGAAAGGGGTGTGCATTTTTAAAACTCTGCCAAAGGATGCTCAGCTCCCAGCACACCTGGCTTTTTGGCCAGAGATGGATGGATGGACCTTTCAAGCAAGTCCCCCCCGCCCCCGCTTTTGCGAGTGTCTGTGTATGAGAATGCGCTGTTTGGTGCTTACAGTATCAGAATGTAAGAAGAGCTTTGCTGAATCAAAGCAAGGGTCTATCTGGATTAATGTTCTGTTCGCACAGTGGCCAACCAAGTCCTCAACAGCATGGAATGGGATACCAGCGTGGTGTAGCCATTAAGAGACCTGGGTTCTAGTCCCCGCTTAGCCATGAAGCCAAGTGTGTGGCTTTGGCCAGTCACAGACTCGGAGGCCAGCCTGCCTCACCAGGTGGCTGTTGTTGGGATAAGATTAAGAGTCAGTTGTTGTTGTTATTTTGGGGAGGCAAAGCAGAATATAAATCGAATAAATGAATCAATGCAGCCCTTAGCTGCCGCGAAGAGGAACACCTTATTCCTTGAGGAGTTCTTACCACTTGTCATACCAAAGTCATTCAGTCAAGAAAGTAATTCCCCAGGTGTTACAATGTCCCTGAAGAGGATATGGAGGACTGAACTGACTGATCACAAGGATTTTTTTTTGTTTAATGGACAGGTGTGGCTATAATTTTAAAAAAGATAACAACGTGCAAACTGCCAAGAGCTCCTACAGTTTTGAGTTTCAGTAAATTTTGATAATGAACCATAAACCGTAAGTGATTTGTCGATAGCTACCTGCTTGCTGGTGGCTCAGTGCTGGAAGGAAAGACCTTTAGTATTGCTGGAGGAGTGGGGAAGACTGATAGGGCATAGGATTTTAATGTACAAAGTAAACTGCTATGAAAATGTGTGGGGGATCTAAAGAAAAGGATCTCTTTGGAATATTAGTACTGGAATTCAAAGCTTAATTATGGAACTGTTAACAGGAAAGAAGTATCAAACATCATTTCAGTACAAAAAGAACAACTAGACATCACAAAACACTAATGCACACATTCAGATCATTCACACGGGGTTAAGTTCCAGGGACTGTACCCTGCTGGTTGCGTGCTTGAAGGCCACCTGTATCAAAAACGCTCTGCATGTAGCCAATTAACTTCTTGAGAAATGGTTAGGCATCCAACTGACATTCTCAAAGATGGACAAAACGATTCTGACCTAGGGCAATGTTTTCCTGTCTGGGGTCTCTAATCCACCCGAAACAGACATTCCTAGCTGTCTCCCCAGCTGCAAATGACGCACCAGCTTCCGCGCCACCTGCAACCTCCCTTTCCACCAGCCCCCAGGCCAAATGCTATTGCCACTGAGTCACTCCCCTCCCCACCCCCACCCCGTGCACCAGCAGTTCATTCCTTTGGAGCCACCTAAGCTATTCCGATGCACTTGAGGCAGGAGATTTGACAGGAGAGTCACGTCACACATGTACTTGGGAGGAGGGACTCACTACCTGTGTCCCAGAGGCGTGCATGCATATGCTGACTCTGGCAAGTAAACCGGGCATGTATCGAAGGTTCATAATAGCTGCACAGGAAAAAGACGCTCATACCAAAGCCTTTCCACAGCCCAGACAAAAGGCTGCACCAACCAGCTCTGGGTGGTGTCAGTTCTTCATTAGTGACCCAAACTCCCTCGGGAAGTCTGGCTGGTGTTTGGCAGCAGGTTAAATGGCACAGTTTCAAAGGCCCCTTCAAGATTGATCACTCATTGATTACAGCTCCAGCAACCTCATGCCGACATGGTTGGCTGTGACCATCAGATGCACAGGAGCCAACTCTGACCAAGACATGTTGGCATCTGAGACAGATAATCCAACAAGCAGAAACTACAAATACAGTTTTACACCATTAAATAACTAATCATCTGCCTTGGACACCCCACATGTGCCTAAGGCAGGGCCAGACCAGACTGCATGATGGATCGATCCATCTGTACATATGCTTAGTGGTTTTATGTACTTTGTTCTATTATATTGCTTAATTGTTATTTTAATTGAGTGTAAGTCTTTGGGGGTCCCAAAGTTAGTGTGCGTTGTTTTTATTAAGAAATGGCAAGGTTTACTTGTGCTTAAATGGAGAGGAATTTAAGAGATGGCCTTAATGTGGAAAGCATACTGGATTGTGGCCAAAGATGTTGATTTTTATCCAAAATGCAAGGAAAGGGCGAAGAATTAGGGTTCTACTACCTTTCAATCTGCCCGCGGCATTTTTCAGGGAGACAGGCCCATCCCGGACAAATTTCCTGCGCCGCAGGTCCTCCCTGGCAAACATCTGTCCACTCTTCATTCTCATGATGGACTTGCTGTCTGACCGGGTGTAGATTTCATTGAGACGCATCTTCTTCTCATAGTTGCTGACTTTACTGTTCACGGCAGTGATGACTTCCTTTACTAGGTTTAGCGACAGTACCAGGTCTTGATGTTCAATATCATTTTCTGAAAACATAAGAGAAACTTTCCTTTCAGTTGTTGCCCTTGCATTTGTGTTCTCTCACCCCACTACTGAGCTCGAAACACCCGGCTCTTGACTTCTCATCCCCAGCCCCCCTGGAGCCATCAGCCTGGCATGCATCTGCAGCAGAAACACTTGACTGTAAGCCACAGATGTCTTCCCAGGTGAGAATTCATTGCGAACAAGGAAGGCCAACCTGCAATATTCTCTCTGGCCGAGATGCATGAGTACAGTAAGAGAAAGAGACTCTTATGGGGTACAGAGCCTAAATGCATGTGTGGCCCTTGACAACTGACATAGCGCATCGTTATTTTGTCCCCAAATAGTTCTACCCAAATAGGGATCAAGTGTCGAAGCAGCACGAGAGGAGCTGGCACTGCCAGGGCGGCCTTAACTTCACGCTGCCATCAACATCTTATGGCTGCCTCGCCGTGGCAAGTCTGATTTTGCTTTCTGGAACAGCCCCGGGGGGATTGCTTGCTTGTCTGCTTCCCCCCACACCTTTTCACCGTGTGTGTGTCTGTGTGTGTTTGTGTGCGGAGAAGGGATGGGGTGACAGAGAGAGCAATCTGGCAAACTCTGCCCAGTTGGGCCCTGACCCCACCCGTCATTGGCTAGTAACCTCCGTGGTGACTTTTCATGTGGGTCAATGGCCCGACATGGGGAAAAGACTGCTCTCCTGACCGATCTGCGTGGGTACAATTAAACCCAAATGAACCACTTTGAGAGCATGGGCAGATCTAGAAATTTAACATTTGGAAGCACTATTTCAAGATCGCTTCCGAGAAAAGGAGCTTTCCATGGAAAGGGCTTTCATCAAAGACAACAGTCCAATCATCACATGAGCACAAAGGGACTCCAAAACACTGATGAAATGGTCTCACAAAAGATGCTGACTAAACCGTGATGAATTGGGGCCAACTGATGATGCCATTATGTTTTCGGGTTTCCTGCCATGCTAGAAAACAGTGGAGTTTTAAAGCATTTTCCAGGAGAGCAACGTCTTATTTCTACAGAAACGAAAAGGAATCACCTTTTGTATACTGCAGTATTCTCTGTAACAACACGGGATATTTGGTGATCCTCTGCGTCACCAGCAAGATGCACTCCGGAATGCCCAGGCGTCTCACCACGGAGCTGCTCATCTTTTTCTGGAGAATAGGGAAGTAAGCAAACATGCTAGGTTGGCAGGAGTGAGAGGTGAAGGGGACCTACCTAGATAACACTTCTCCATGCTATCACCGTTAGCAAAGCAGCTTGCATGTACTTTATTTTCATGTATTTATTATATTTCTATCCCACCCTTTTTCTTCAAGGAATCTAAGGCAGCACACTTAAGTCTCCTCCTCTCAACTGCAGCCTCACAACAACAACCCTGTGAGGTAGGCTAGGCTGAGTGTCAGTGCCTGACCCAGGGAGCTTTAGGGCTGAATGGGGTCTAGAACCGGGCTCTCCTGGATCCCAGTCCAACACTCCAACCACCATGCCATACCAGTCCTGTTATACCTTGCAAATGAACCCCAAGATGCTCCAATTCTGCAGCTCTCTGGCCAAGAACTGGTTTGGAGAACCAGGACTGCTTTAGAGGTCCTGTCACATAAAAAAAATCATTCCTAGCTACCCAAAAGCATTCTTTCAGCAACTCAATAAAATATATAATAAAGTAATACATGTTAGAAAATAATTTATTTATAATATAGCTTTATAACTATAAAATACGAAGCTAAAACAAAAACTAAACTATTATTGCAACAGTTTAGCTGCAAAAGAGCAGAACCAGGCTTCCAGCTCCCTGTTCAACACTACCACCCAAGCTTCTGGTGCTTACAGGGAATGTACGGGTGGAGAAACCACCAGGAATTCAGTTCGGTGGCCTGACTGTCTCATATTTAGAGAGCCAGTGTGGTGCAGTGGTTCAAAGCGTGGGGCTGGCACTCGGGTGATCTGGGTTCTAGTCCCTGCTCAGACATAGAACTCACTGGGTGACTTTAGGCCACTCACAGACTCTCAACCAAGCCTACCTCACAGAGTGGTTGTTGTGGGGATAAGATTGGGAACAGGAGGAGAAGAATGATATAAGCCACTTTGAGTTCTTAAAGAAAGAAAATGGTGGGATAGAAATCCAAGAAATAAATAAAATAAATAATTATCCCTCTGATACCACACCTATTATCATTATCTAAAGTGCACACATTTCCTGTCTCCATGATTTTAATTAAAGCTTTTCCTGATCTGGAAAAAACCCCTGCCCCATTTGCTAGATGTACTGAACATTCCCAAGAGCTCTTGTTGCAGCAGCTGGACCGTGGAAAGAAAAACACAACACTTTCACTTTGCCTTTCTGCACCCCCTTTCCTGAGTCTGGTCTCTCCACACCTGAGAGCCAGCATGCCTAGTGGTTAGAGTGCTGAACTGGGACTCTGAAGCTTGCTGGGCGACTTTGGGCCCATCATGGACTCTCAGCATCACCTGCTTCACAGGGATGTGATGAGGATTAAATGAATTAAAAATACAACATAAGCATAAGCTGCCTTGGGTTCTTTGAAAATCCCAATATGCTTGCAAAATGCCACACTACTGGTTGATTACCTTAATGAATGCTTGGAACCGTTTCTCCTTAGAGTACAGGTCTTTGAAGTAATTTACCGCCTCGTTCTGGTGTCCACAAAACTTGCCATACGTTTTTTTCATTCGTTCAGCATTCTCCCAAGAAAACTAGGAACAGAAAATAGAAATCAGAGATCCCCTGCATAGTAGATGATTTTTTAAAAATCAGGTAGGAGGAAAATTGGTGGGTCTCACTAGAAAACCTGGCAGAAGAGGCTTTCCCCCTCTTTAATTTTGCTGCTGCAAACAACACAGAGTTCCCACCGGCAGGCTGGTGGCTGCCATTCTCCGCCCACCCAATGCCCACCCAACTCACCAGTTACACAGCGGCGGGGACTATGGAGAGAGAAAAGCACCTGTTGCGGCAGCTGCAAACCTTGATTTGGAAAAAGGAAGGAAGCAGCTGCAAGTTGCTGGGAAAATGAATTCCCCACCCCAGCCATGGAAAAGACCACAGCAAGGCCCAAGGAAACGGGGGGGGGGGGGGGTTGAATACATCAGTATCCCACTAATCACAAAGTCCTGGGCTTGCATCCCTGCTTGCCCCGTGCCCACAATGCCACTGCTGCCACAGATGCTTTTCCTTGCATGGGCCCTGGAAATTGGAAGAAATTTGCCCAAGCCCAGAAAGAATAGCTGAGCTTTCCCCCAGACAGGTCTCCTCCTCCATATGGGATGCCTAATTTGGGAAAGGGGGGTCTTTCCGTGACTCTATTCTATTAATGAAGAAAGTAGGGAAAAGCACTAGGCCACTCAGGTATGACCTAAATCATATCCCTGATGAATATACAGTAGAGGTGACATACAGATTTAAGGAAATAGATCTGATAGAGTGCCTGAAGAACTATGGATGGAGGTTTGCAACATTGTACAAGAGGCAGCAACTAAAACCATCCCAAAGAAAAAGAAATTCAAGAAAGCAAAATGGCTGTCTGAGGAAGCTTTACAAATAGCTGAGGAAAGAAGGGAAGCGAAAGGCAAGGGAGAAAAGGAAAGATACACCCAATTGAATGCAGAATTCCAGAGAATGGCTAGAAGAGAAAAGAATGCCTTCTTAAATTAACAGTGCAAAGAAATAGAAGAAAACAGAGATCTCTTCAAGAAAATTGGAGATATGAAGGGAACGTTTCATGCAAAGATGGGCATGATAAAGAACCAAAATGGCAGGGACCTCACAGAGGCAGAAGAGATTAAGAAGAGGTGGCAAGATTACACAGAAGAAGTATACAAGAAAGAGCTTAATGTCCCTGATAACCACGATGGGGTGGTCACTGACCTCGAGCCAGACATCCTGGAATGTGAAGTCAAATGGGCCTTAGCAAGTCTGAGCAACAACAAAGCTAGTGGAGGCGACAGTATTCCAGCTGAGCTATTCAAAATCCTAAAAGACGATGCAGTTAAAGTACTACACTCAATATGCCAGCAAATTTGGAGAACTCAACAGTGGCCACAGGATTGGAAAAGGTCAGTTTACATTCCAATACCAAAAAAAGGCAATGCCAAAGAATGTTCAAACTACCGCACCATTGCACTCATTTCACATGCTAGCAAATTTATGCTCAAAATCCTACAAGCTAGGCTCCAGCAGTATGTGGACCAAGAACTACCAGAAGTATAGGCAGGATTTCGAAGAGGCAGAGGAACTAGAGATCATATTGCCAACATACGCTGGATCATGGAGAAAGCTAGCGAGTTCCAGAAAAACATCTACCTCTGCTTCATTGACTATGCTAAAGTCTTTGATTGTGTGGATCACAACAAATTGTGGCAAGTTCTTAAAGAGATGGGAGTACCTGATCATCTTATTTGTCTCTTGAGAAACCTATATGCAGGTCAAGAAGCAACAGAGAGAACTGTGCACAGAACCACTGATTAGTTCAAAATTGAGAAAGGAGTTTGGCAAGGTTGTATACTGTCGCCCTGTCTATTTAACTTATATGCAGAGCACATCATGAGAAAGGCAGGCCCAGATGAATCATCAGTTGGAATTAAGATTGCTGGGAGAAATATCAACAACCTCAGATATGCAGATGATACCACTCTAATGGCAGAAAGTGAAGAGGAACTAAAGAGCCTCTTGATGCGGGTGAAGGAGGAGAGCGCAAAAGTTGGCTTGAAACTCAACTTTAAGAAAACTAAGATCATGGCATCCGGTCCTCTCACTTCCTGGCATATAGATGGGGAAGAAATGGAGGTAGTGACAGATTTTATTTTCCTGGGCTCCAAGATCACCACAGATGGTGACTGCAGCCAAGAAATTAAAAGATGCTTGCTCCTGGGGAGGAAAGCTATGGCAAATCTAGACAGCATACTAAAAAGCAGACATCACCCTGCCAACAAAATGCATACAATCAAGGCTATGGTTTTCCCAGTTGCAATGTATGGCTATGAAAGCTGGACCATAAGGAAGGCTGAGCGCTGAAGAATTGAGGCCTTTGAATTGTGGTGCTGGAGGAGACTCCTGCGAGTTCCTTGGACCACAAGATAATCAAACCGGTCAGTCCTAGAGGAGATCAACCCTGACTGCTCTTTAGAAGGCCAGATACTGAAGATGAAACTCAAATACTTTGGCCACCTAATGAGAAGGAAGGACTCCCTGGGGAAGAGCCTAAAGCTGGGAACAATAGATGGCAAAAGAAGAAGGAGATGGCAGAGGATGAGGTGGCTGGATGGAGTCACTGAGGCAGTTGGTGTGAGCTTAGGTGGACTCTGGGGGATGGTGGAGGGCAGGAAAGCCTGGAGAAATGTTGTCCATGGGGTTGTGATGGGTCAGACACAACTTCGCAACTAACAACATTCTTAATTCATATCTGCACAAGGTTTCAGCTGAAGGAGAAAGTATGAATGATTCCACTAACCCAAATATGAATGATTCCACTAACCCAAACAAATCAAACCACAAACAAATGAATGAGAAATGGGGGAAGAGGGTGCTTCCTGAGTGGGACTTGCAGTGGGTGCTGGGGAAGAACAGTTCTAGGGTTCTGTGTTGATTTTTGCCCCCGCTCACAAGATGAGCAAAATAAATCATGCAAGCGGAATACTTCATTTTTATTTGCAAAAATAAAGCAGAGGCTGTGATCCACCCTCAGGCACATTCCCCACTGCTCACTTGGTTCACTAGGATGTCCCCTATCCTCTTGATGACAAAGTTCTTATCGCTTCTGTCTGCCAGTGACTCCTTCTTCCTCTCCAGAATTCGTTGGAAGAACTGGCTGTGGATATTTAACAAGTCATCTAGGCACGGGAAGACTTTTTCCACCATCTGCTGCTCATACTGCAACTCCTGCACCATCCCTCTGCTGTAGACATCACTCATGATCTTCAAGGTGCGGACATGGTGCATCTCCGTTTGCATCAGTTCTGCAGGAGAGGAGCAGACAGGGATAAACAAAAGACACAACAAAAGATTGTGTTTGATTCTTCAAAGCACAAAAGAGCCACAAAACCAACTTCGGGTCACAGCACTCAGCTTTCCAAACAACTGGACATTAGATTACAAATTTCAGACTTAGCCATGGCTGGCAAACATGCGAGTCATAGTCAAGGGCATATTTATTGAATTTAGGACATCCTGCCTTAACTCATAATGTTTGTTTTGCAATATAAAACCACAAAACAAGGTAAGAACACATCAACAAGCAACATAGGGCTATTGGTGCAGTTTATACATTTAGTAAAGAAATAAACAAACATAAAAGAACAGGATGGACAGAAAGAAAAACAGCACAGGAAAAATAAACAACAGAATGCTGAAAGGATCTACTTTAAAGAGGAAGAGAGAGAAATCAGTGAAGTGCTTGCTAAAACCAGAGTAGCTGCTAAACAAGATTCTAGCAGCAAACAAGGCAGGTGAGTGAGCCTCTGTACTGCCTCACCCTTTTCTTTGATTAGAAGATTAAAAGATACAACTATAAGAGAAACCACACCCTCTCTTGCCAATGTATACCAAGTCGCAGAATTTAGTTTCTGTGGCTGCAGGTTTTAGATTGACTGATATGCTTTGCTAGAAAGATGCTTACCGTAGATGACATCCTGCCGCTTCACAACATCCTTCTTCTGCTGCCGGAGAAACTTGCTGTCTACCACTTGACTCCAGGACTGGGCTTCCAACTGCTTTGAGTCCGTTTCAAAATCTCCCATGAGCTGGCCTTCATTCATGTCTGCACCTAGGAGGGCGGAGAGGTCGCTCATGATGCAAGCACTCCTGGGATGCCTTCCTCCACCTTGGTCTGATATACGGTGGGCTAATGTGCTCACTAGAGGTGCTGACAGTGTGATTTGCTCTTTGGTTGGGGATAACGGCAAATGCTCTGATGGTGACCCAAAATAAGGATTAGCTACCCAGAGTTTCATGGCTACTGCACTTTCATGGCCACAGATCCCTGCAAGCATCTTAGCACCTGAGTGAGCACATTCTGAACCTTGGCGCAGCAGCTCGGATCTTTCAAGTGAAGAATTCCAATCAGGCTCACTCACTACCCAAGCTCACCTTGGTCTGCTTTTCATCGGAGAAGAGAAAGACCCTAAGGTCATTTCATGGGGCAAGAGCACTGCCCTTTTACCAGTCTGCGCAACTTTGGCCCAAGGGTTCAGCCTGTGCAGGCATCAAGCATCGCTTGAGGTTTTAAGGGCACGAGTGAGCTTTGGACGGCCTTGTATGTTTTACCTGGGAGCCCTCTTACATCCTGCAGAGTCTAGAACAAGCCTCTTCAGCCTCATGCCCTCCAGACTGCTGGACTAGAATTCCTAGCATGCTCCAGCCAGCTCAACATCCCCTGGGCTTACCAAGTAGGACCAAAAACCATTTTATGCATCATGTTAGGAAATCCAATTATATACATTTGACCAGAAGAGTAGCTCCTGGGTATGAACTGAACCAAACATGGCTGTACAGTGTACAAAACATAATGATAATGCAGGCGGGGGGAGGGAACACTTTGAGAAATTTCCCACCTACTTATATGGTTCGTTTGTAGGGTGAAGTCTGCAGAATAGGGTGAAATATTTCTCCTACTCAGAGTAAAGGCAGAAAGCATTGCCTTCACTGTGATTTGAGCTCCTAATTTCATCACATGGTCAGATCTGATTGGATACAGGGTACTACACAGTCATCTCATCAGCTGGATCACATACCCACCAAGAACAGGAATGATCTTCTGTCGACTACTGAGAATTTGACTCAAACCTAGAAATGATATGCATGCGTGTGCACACACACAGCCTTTTATAAGTTATTTGGTGGCTAAAAGCTGAGAAAATTCTCATTACTGTGTGAGCAAACCATTTATGTAATTTTGTGTAACTGCACTGCAATTAACATGCAATTTATCTGCCTTTGTTTACTCTGGTAAATTAATGGAATTGTGGAAGAGAGCATCACAAGCCTGCATATTCAAGCCATGAAAGCAATAACAGATAGAAATATCAACAGACATGACACAATCAATACAGCTTATTTAAGACCACATTACTTTGCAAAGACGCACTGTTTACTTGTCCTCTGAATACCATTTCAGAAAAATGCTGGGGGTTGAGGAAACCTCCGCTACCAAGGTGGGTTGGGTGCTTGCACATTGTGAGTTGTGAGTCTCCTAGTCTGAGATCAGCTAACAGAAATCCAGAAAGGCTCAGCATTCTACCTGGGGACATAGGTCAATGCAACCTCATTGGATTTAGGTACCTGAAGCAACCTATTCATGAGCAGAACAGCAAACCAATCATGGTAACTTGCATGTCTCCATGTGCACCCCCCCCAAACCTGGGGGGTCCCCCAAACTTCCAGAGCAGATTTGAGGGAGCTGACACAATGGGGAGAGGAAATTCTTTCCATGAGGCGTTTCCCTTCCCCTGGCAGAAAGACACTAACGGCTCCACCCAAGCAGCGCGCAGCCCTCACACACAGCAGCCAGATCAAGCTGTCCCTGCTGGGGTCAGCAACCATTGGGCCCATGGAAAATCAAGAAACTGTTCTGGCCACAACCAAAACTGGCTGCCAAGGCTTAACACAAAGGGAAAACAACCTTCCCAGAGGAAGGGAGATGGTCATCTAGGGGCTCCCATGTTACTTTGTGTATCATTGTAAAAAATAAATGCACAATATATTTTGTATATATTTTCTCAGAAGATACACTTTTCTAAACTTAATTTTACCTGAATGAGGTTCTGTGTGTGTAAGAATTCTGTCCATCAAGGAGAGATCTACATGAAGCCCCTTCTGACTGTGCTTGTTATCTACATGCAAGACACCTTGTACGTGTGGAAATGTCCAGCTCCAATCTTGCAGCGTATCAAGACCTCAGCAGTTTTGCCAATGTCACTCACCTTCGTCTGTTAGGGACTCCATGGATTCATTCACTCGGCAGATTTTGTTCAAGGAATCTGTCGAATGAGAGAGGAACTTCCACGTGTGAAGCATGCTTTCATCATTTCCAACTCTGAAGGGATAAGGAAGGGGGGGCAAAGAAAAAGACAACACGGGCCCTTTAGGATGCCAGCTGCAAGTAAACATGTGGCTGTGCATTGGCTGCGGGAGGCCAGGTCTCTGCTAAAGAGCTGCAAAGCAGGGAAGTCACGATTTCTAGGGGGGTGTGGTCATAGCCCGGTTCTTCCCTGCAAGACCCTCCCCCAGCATCAGCCTTACTTTGATCCCTGTTTGGAATTTCCAGTTACTCAAATCTGCTAACCATTTTTGACATCTTTTTTTGCAACGGGAGATGATGAACACAGTCAGACTAAGTGATGATCTTTAAATCAAACTGCCATGTGAAGGTGTCAAAATGCAAAGAACGTATGAAGCTGACTTATACAGCAGGGGAGGCCAATGGATCATCTGGTGCTGTGCTGTAAACTCCAGGAGTTGCTGAGCCTCTTTCAGCCCCAGGGCAGAACTGAGTTTTGGAGAAGCTCCAGGGACTGCATTCCTGTGACAAGCAGGGCCAATGATACCAGTGCATAGTTGAGCTTAAAGTTCTTACTACAAGCTGCAGAGTTTAGGGAAGTTACTTCAGCCTTTTAGAATGCGAAGAACCGCACAAAATGCACAAAATGATTAAGGGAAATGGGGTGGGGCCATGGGACCACAGAGGGTCGAACTGGGACCCCAGGTGGGCTGAATTTGTCCTTCAGGGCTGGAGGCCAACCACGCTAGGCAGCCTGGATCAGAAGTAGCTCTTTCTGGTGCCAGGCAGAGCCCTTCTGCAGCCCCATCACCAAGACCTTTTAACTGGCAGATCCAGGAATCAAACTTGGGATCCTGCTCACATCACGTACTGTCTCAACTGAGCCACGGGCTTGTCACCAGCTCTGGCCATGCACACATGAGTGGCAACTATGCCCACCCAGAGAGAATGAGTCTTACCCAGCGATGTTCTGGATTGAGACACTTTTCGAAAGGGCTGGGTTGGGCAGCTGCTGGGATCTCCTGTTATTGAACAGGGAGGTGACAGTGTTCTCATCTGGGGCTAATATCGCCGATCGAGGTCTTTCCTTTGGTTGAGAGGCTGCAAAGGAAGCATCAACGGGCATTAATGACCAAGCTCACAGAGCACCTTTCTGACACGAGTTCCCAGCATTTGAACCAGGCAGTTTTATTGCACAGATGGGCAAGTTGTAGCCCCCCAAATGTACTAGCTTACAACTCCCACTATTCCTCACCCCTCACCCCGACTAACACTTAGGGACACTGCAGGTCAAAAGTTCTGGTGAGCTTCAAGTTGCCCATCCTGGCTTCTTGACCTGCACAAGAGATCCCTTGCTAGCTTTCTAAACATCGAGACAGGCAGCAAGGCGCATGCAGAATAAAATGTGCCATGCCAAATCACAACATGGACATTTTTGAGTACAGTAACACCAACCCTTTTCATTTGCTGAGCTCTTCTAAAGCTGCTTCTTTCAGACTATCTGTGATCTCACTGCCTATGGTTCCCCTTTCTGCTAAGGTAAGAACCAAGATGAAGCATGTGGTCTCTTAGGTAAGAGTTTCTGTCATCAGTAGCATGCCATTGTCACCAGAAAAGGGACAGACATATGCCGCTAATTGTACAGTCTAAACAAGATTCTGTGCAGTGTCACTGACTGCTATTTTTTAAAATGTCAGCTGACTTCTCTGTGGTGCTTCCATCTCTATAAGCTTCTGTGGATTCCGCAGAACTGTCACAAGCACCTGTAACATCACCTTCGGGATCTTGCCAAAGTGAAAGACAGGATGGCTACAGGCTTATTCAATAAACCAGATCTGTCCTGGTGCTCAAAGCACACGCTAGGCTATGATTCCAAAGCCTACACTGATGTATAATACAATTACCAGCTTTTGAGAAGCTGCAGAAAGGTGGCGACAGGGATTGAAAAAAAGCTACTCACTCTTGCTTCTCATGACTACTGTGGGCAATGAGGAAGTATCATGCGGCTGAAGTCCTGTTTTCTGGAGATGAACGAAACAACAGAAAGGGCAGGTTTCAGTCTTGCACTAGAAGTCATTATCCGAAGAAGTCTAGAATATACATCCATGCATCTCTCATTTCCCCCACCCACTCTTGCTCTCCCTCATTCTCTCCCTCCCTCCCCCCTCTCTCTCTCACACACACAGTATAGCCATGCAAGTGAATACTCTTGGAATGCATGAAGGAGCCACTTTTTTGCTTTTATGAGGCCTGTGATCAGTATCTCCCCACATGTGGCAAGCTCAAGCAGCAGGAAAGTTTCTAGCTTTCCACAAGCTTGGAAATGTTGACATGGGGAGGGATTTTAAGCAAGTCAAATGCACACAATCTCCATTCTGAGGTTGCAGGGTCCTTTGGAAATGTCTTGCTCTTCCAATCCATGGGCTATTCAGCTTAGCCTTCCATCTGGCCCATGGAGAGAGCAAATCAGAATGACCACAAAGCTAAAGTTTCAAGTCACTGTGCTTAGAAAAACTGTAGCCCTCATTGATTAGAAGGCAGCCAAATCCATGATTTATCACAGATAAATGTGACAGGAAAAATGGGGTAGAACCAAATGTGTATCTTTTCCTTTCCACAGGTGTTTGGGCTGAAAAATCCATGTCTTAATAGCAAGGAACATCACTCAACAGCCTGTGAAAGCCTCAGCAATTACCTACAGACTGGCAGTAACATGGAAAGTCTGAAAATACAAGAGGTACAGAAACGTGACTCACTGGAAATTGCACTCACAACTGGACTGGAAGAATGGTCAGAAAGGGCAAGGAAGGAAAATAACAAACCTGGGATTTTCAGAGATTGAGAAAACCACCCCAATTCAAAAGCAGAGATCTGGACTCCAAGTTTCCTGGTGCCTTTGCCATGATACGGTTTCTAGGCACACATATTTGTGGAAACGGAAATGTGTTCAAAACAAAATAGGAGAGAATTTACCTTCATTTTGACCTTGGAACAAGCAGCCAAGTTCTCCTTGCAGCTTTTATGGACGAGAACACCACAATCTATAGAAAACAAATGATGAGAACCATCAACAATCCTGCCTAAGGTGTAGATGTCTTACTACTTCTCCTTCAGGCCTCCAGAGATCAACCATTTCAGCTCCTCTGAGTTCACAGGAGCTCTAAGATCAGCTAAAATTTGCTGTTTCAGAGACTTTTCATAATGGGACAGCACAGAAAATAAACAATAATCCTTTGAGTCAGAGAAAAAGCGAACCATCAGTTCAGGTATCAGTCCCACACCAGCAGATTTTTATGGCGAATTCTGTTTGAAAATGAACAGGAGCCCCCAGGGTGAAATACAGGAGCTTAATGTCTATCAGGCATGAATGAAAACAGAAGGATGCTAGGAGATCATCACCAAAAGTCCATTCATTTTATGATGCAGAAATCAAACTCACTGGGTAATATAACACAAATGAAAGCAGTTATGCTGTCATTAAGCGAATTCTGGAGTTCATTCTCTGATCTCTTCTCATTTAGATGTCAAGAACGGAGCCCAAAGGGATGCCCTTGTTATTAGAATATAAGCAAAGGCATGCCGGGTCAGAGCCAAGGTCCAGCACTCCATACACAGAGACAGATCAGCTGCCCACAGGATCCCTCCAGCAGGATGAGTGCAAGACCACATCCTGTACAAGTTACTCAGCAACCAGGGTGTGCAGATGTGCCCCGCTGGGTGAAGGTGGCAGCCCACAGCCCAGCAGGGCCGGTAGCCACTGACAGCCTCCTCCCGCACAGCAAAGTGCCCCACGCCTTCTCTGAGCAGCGCTGCTCTGCTACGCACATTCCACAGCATCAAGTGGGGTGCGCCACGCAGCACAGCTGGCGCATGGAGTGACAATCAGTGCAGCGCAGCGGGCTAGGAGGGGTTGCTGCGGCACTTCAGGCTGGGCTGGGGCTCTAGAGGATGTGCAGCCCACTGCACAGCATGTGCAGAAACACAGAAACAGAGCAAGTCTGAAGGGGCCTCCCGGGCCATCTAGTCTGACCTCCGGCTCTAGCTGGCTCCATTCAGGACATGCCTACCATGCGCATGTCTAGCCTATCCTTGAACACCCTCTCCAATGGGGCCTTAACCACCTCCCGTGGAAGCCCATTCCACACCCTTGGGGTCCTGACTGTCAGGAAGAGCTTCCTGGCATCCAAACTGGTTCCCTGAGCTTGGCTCTGTTAGTGCACTTCCTGCCTTCTTCTGGAGGAGAGAACAGGCCTCTACCCACCTCTGTGTGACACCCCCTCACATGCCTGTATGTTGCCAACAGATCCCCTCTGAGTCTCCTCTTCTCCAGGCTGAAGAGACCCAGTTCCCTCAGTCTCGCCTCATACCCCATCCCCTACAAACCGGCCACCAACCTTGTGGCCCTAAACGCCCACCCAAACCCCCAGAAAGCCACTGCCGGTCCATGTGCACTTGTTGCTGCACAGCCCCAGCCACCGTCACCACAGAGGTCAATGTTTGTCAGGCAACAGAGAAGCCATCTCGCAGATCACCCTCTAGCGCTCAACCGTGTTGTCACCTGGGCTGATAGCAAGAAACAAGCTGGAAGGGGAAGGGGCTCAGGGCAGGAGTCCCCCTCTCCAGGAACATAACAAGACTCAGGTATGACTTAAAGTACATGAAGGCAATCCCGCACTGTATCACAGCCTGTAACTCACACACAGTCCTCCACCCAGCTTTGGTTAACAGGGACCATTAATTTGGATTAACAGCTTGACATGTTCACTTTAATAGCTCTTTCATAGGTCAGAATTTTCAGAAATTGGTCAGCACTTGTAAAGTGAGTGTACAAGGTATTCCTTCCCTCCCAACACCCTGTTCCACACACATTCTAGAAATCAGCTTGCCAGATGCAGTGTTTTCATTTTTTATCAAGTCATTTTGATCACAACTTAATACTACACTTCCTGGAATGAACAGAAGTAGAAATTAATTCCTGGCTGCTTCTAAATGGAACTGACTGGCTTCCATTATCATCCCTAATTAGAATTTTATGTTCTGAAAGAAGTTGGTTTTTGCCTAATCATGTGAATTATATAATAATTACATCAATGAAGAACCTGAATTACCAGATGCATAGGAAGGAAAGCAAACATGCAACATTCCGGATGTTTATTAAGAGAGTTGAACAAAGTTACAAGCAGAAACAAACAAAAAGGAAGTCAGTGTCACTAACTGCAAGGAAAAAAGTTAAGTGTAAGGCAACAGTCATAACCTCTGGTTGGCCTCATGCCAAGGCCCACAGGTATTCAGGGAAAACTAAGGTGGTGGCAGCCATCTTGTTCAGTGCTTCCCTTCAGAGCATGGCACAAGCAGGACAGGACAGGTGAGAAGAAGGGGAGAGAGGCCACAAAGGTGGCCTCACCTCAGGTAGCAGAGGAAGTTAAAGGTATCAAAAATATAGAATATATATTAGCGGGGGGGGGGGGGGAGAAAGAGAGAGAAGATGGCAAACAGGTAAGAGAGCAGCAGAAGGTCTGAATTGGTGAAGTGACTGCAAGCATGGTGGAAAGGAAACTTTATCCCTGCTTTATCCAGATCCTCACCGGGGCAATGCTGGGCTGCCACCCACTCTGTGAAGCCAAGCTGTGGAAGTTTTCACTGATTGAGGCCTTGCACTTCACAACAAAGCCCATATATGTGTGATGCACAGAGGCCACAAAGAACAACTAAGGTGGTGGCAGCCACCTTGCTCATTGCTTCTCTTCAGAGCATGACACTTTAAAACGTTTTTAAAATACTCCACGGGGATCTGGCATTTGCCCCACCAAGTCAGGTGTGGATGCCAGGCTGACTTAAGGCAAGGCTTAATTGCAATGAGCAGAGTGGTGCAGCCATAAAGAATGCTGCTCTAGGACCCAAGTAGGCCTGGTGCAGCAGCCACAATCTATCACCATAACATACCTCACAGGGTGGTTGTGGGGATAAATATGGGGCAGGGGAGAAAAAGAGAGCATGAACAATATGTGCCCTCTTGAATTCCTTGGAGAAAGGGAAGGAAAAACGTAAATAAATAAAGGATCTTCCAGAAGATCAGATTGGCTGTTTTTTGCCTGAACACTTTTGGAGCCTATGAAATCTCTCGAGGATTAAAGCAGCAGTTCTGTTGTTACCACATGCTGCCTCCGACTTATGGCAGCCCATGAATGGCACCCTGCAAGATGTCCTACTCATGACTCATGACAGCCCTGCTCAGTTCCATTATGGAGTCCATCCCTCTTGTATTTGGCCTTTCTTTACGTCTCCTGCCTTCAACTCTCCCTAGCAGGATTGTCCTCTCCAGGGAGTCTTGCTGTCTTATGATGTGCCAGAACAACAACACCCTCAGTTTGCTATTTTGCTTCCACTTCTGACATGATTTGATCTAGGACCCCTTGTTCATCTTTCTCTTGGTCCTGAGTATTTGCACAGCTCTCCTTCAGTGCCATGCTTCAAATACATCCCCCCTTTTCTTCCTGTCAACTTTCATCTCTCTCTGGCTTTCACACCCATGCACACTGATCTGCTCCTGTTCCTTTCACAATCATAGTCACCACCTTCCCTTTCCACAGTAAAAAAAGCTCTGCATAGCTATTCACAGGACAACAGAGAGCAGAAAGAGAGCACTCACATGTACAGGCCAAAGAATCCTTGTTGAAAGGCTTCTGGCAGTGGTGGCAATTGAAGGGCCCCACTGTTGGTGTTGCGCTGAAGAGGTGCCCATTTGTCATCTTCTTGTCCTTGTCTTTGGAATCTTTTTCCTTTTCTTTCAGTTTCTCCTTGTCTTTCTCCTTTTCCTAAAAGAGAGAGAGAGAGAAAGGGTTGTAGAAGAGAAACGTAAGAGAGAAATGCTTTCCTTCCTTTCTGAGAGGACTCCCGACCCCTCACCTATGAGGGAGAGAGAATTTACTCAGGACCTACACCGTCAGAGGAGGAGTTGTACATGAGGAAACAGAACACCAGAGCTTTCCACTCACCTCCTGGGCCTCAAGCAACAAGTTCACAATTTCAGCTGTGAGTCATCCTCTGCTGAAGCACATCCATGTCTGAATCAGCTGCTCTGACCAAGGCCATGCGTATTTGCCATCAGAAATGAGAGTTTGATTTTGGAATTCAATGCTGAACTGTACAGCGGAAACAGTGGACTCTACAAGTCTACAGAGGTCTTTCAACCTTGGCTAGCGGCCCAACCCTAGCCCTGCAAAAATGTATCTTTAAAACTGACTGTTTCCCCAACATACATAGCTTGTCTCCATTCCTCCAAGATGACTGGCCCACTCACTTCCCAGGACGCTGGAATACACAAGCCAAGAATTCCTGCGCTATGTCAAGACCAGAAGACCTGGACAGAGCAATCTCTGTTTTAATTCACCTTTCAACACCTCTCTGCAAAAGGGGGATCAGCGTTCCTGCTGGTTGGAAGAGGCTCTCAATGGCTACAGATGACTCGATGCTCCCTCCAGAGCCAATATGCCGATGTGCCCCCATCGGTGAGGAACAGAGGTGGGTTAGGGCCTTCCGGAAGCAAGCCTTCCGGAAGCGAGCATGTCTCTTCTCGGCATGCTGATTCTCTCACTGGGCTGCCCTCCTCTGTCGATGCTGTGCCACAGAGTCAAAAACAGGGGCTGCCTGGTCTGTGGCTAATAGGCAATCCTGCCGAGACTCCCATCCTGCCAACTGTGCCTCGTGGTTTTGCCCAGAAACTGCTTGCCCACCTGGGGAGTCTGTCCTTGAGAGAAGCACCTTCATTCATCTCAATGTCTCAGGGTGGCCCACATTCCCAGCCCCCTTTCTCCTTCTGATTCCAATTCTTTGGAAGCCCAGCCAGTAATCCTTGAGAACAAGTGCCCAAAGCAGCTCTCTCTCACTCCCAACACTGGCAGTCAGTTGGCTGCTACCTGAACAGAATTCTGAACTGGACAGACACTGGTCTGACCCTGCAGAGGTCTTCTCGCGCTCTTAGGCAACCATCCTGTTTGCCATGAAGCCTGGCCACCCTGGCTAAGCACCCCTTCTCTTTTTGGAGGCAGCTGGCTGGCCCCCATGGGAAAGCAGGATGCCACACGATGGAAAGTCTCTCACATCTTCACAAAATGCTGGGACTCTGGGGACACTGTCAAAGGATGGGGGGGGGGGCTCATCCCAGGTTCATGGGGCCACCCAGGCCAGTCTTGGCAACATGGATGGGCAGCAGCCCCCCAGGCAGGAGGTGTCCATGCCTTACCTGGGGGTCGGACTGGGGCCCTTCTCCACACCAAGCTAATGCTCTGCTGCTGAGGCACACCCCACCCCTAAGCTACAGCCCCTTGCCAGCTTGACCAGAAAGCACCAGGATGGCCTTGCAGGATCATGCATCTCCATCTCCATTTCCTGTGTTGCAAATTGACTCTGCAGGGGAGGCATTTGTCATGAATAATAACAATACTATTATTTTAATTTCTCTACTGCCCTATGTCCAAAGCTCCCCGGGAGCATCACAACAACTCATAAAAACACACAAAACACAATAAAACAGGTAAAATTCTAATATACTACTTAAGCTGCCAACAGTTTTCCAAATACAACTAGCCTAGCCTGATAATTGAGGGCCCCCACATGGCATTAAACACCCCTGAATGCCTCAGAGAGGAGGACAGTCTTCCCCTGACACTGGAAAGAAAGCAGAGTGGAGCCAGGCAGGGAGCCACCACCGAGAAGGCTCTCTCCCTTGCTGACCCTTGGAGGCAGTCCTCGGAGGAAAGCCTCAGATGTTGATCCAACCCCTGTGTAGATTCAGGGTGAGAGTCACTCTCCACCAGGTATGGTGGTCCCAAGTCATGTATGGCTTTACAGGTTAGAACCAGCATCTTGAACTGGGCTCGGGAGCAACAGGCAGGCATGCTAGGGAGCCGGAATTGGCCCTTATATGCTCAGACCCTGGAGGCTGTAAAATCCTGAGTTGCCCTGATAAGGTGTCCTTGGCAAGAACTTAAAATCCCCCAGATCCAGCAGCCTAGAAGGCCCAGCATCCCATCGGAGACCACCTCTCTCAGCTCAGGCAGGAGCGGGTCAGGCGGTGTGCCAGCAGAAGGCACAGTCTGTCCTACCAGCCCAGTGTAAGGGGCACACCCTCCAGAGGAACAGTTGTGGAGACCCTGGCAAACCCCTCCCTCAGCCCTGTGGTGCCGCACCAAGCAGTCCCACAGAACCCAACACTGCCTAACAAGCTGCTCCAATTCCCTCCAAACCTAGCTAGCCTCAGGATTTCCCAAGTTGTGCTCCAGGAAAAAGCCTCCAGTTTCTTAGCTTCCTGGGATTCCAGACCAGCAGCAACCTCTGGCTTCCCTGGGCAGCGACCAGGGTCCCAGGACCCTCCTCGATGCCTCTGCTGGTCTCCAGAGGTCGGGTCTGCCAAAAAGCCCTTTGCCAAGGTCCCCTCAGACCTGGAGAAGGTCATCTTCAGTGAGAAGATGCCCCACTGGGACAGGCAGCTATCTTTGCTCACGGGGAGCTACTTCAGCCCCAGGTGGCCTCTTCTGTACCTTTTCCAACTCTACAGGGAAAAGCTGCCTTCCTGGGGGTTGGAAGATGTAGTGAGACTGCTTCTGCGGAGGGCCGGCAATATTGACACTGTTAACTGGAAGACAGCCGAAGGTGTGGCACGTGGGGGTGAGGGGGAGAAGAGAGGTAGACAGCAACCTGAGTCCCTTGGATGATGCATACAAATCCTGGTATGTGAAACTCTCTCTCTCTCTCTCTCTCTCTCTCTGAGCTCAGTTCTCATTGCCTCCAGCACTTAGCCCATACCTACATTTCTGACTGCAACGCCCCAGGGAGTCTTATCAGTCCCTTTATGGGCACTGTATTCTGAAACACCATCAGCTTCCAGAAGGGCAGCAGAATTAGTCTGTTGCAATGAAAACAACTTAAAGGCAAACACATTTGTCTGGTATCCACTTTCATGGACAATGAATGCACGCGATGCACCATAAAACAGCAGGACGGAACCATGCTCCAGCCAGACCTGCCCAAAGCACATTTACCCAAAAGTAAGCCACACCAAGTTATCTGAGGATTAGTTCTTAGTAAATGTGAAAAGGACCAAACCACTTGACTGTCTGCCTTGCCAGGTGTAATTTTTTGTGTGTGCCATGCCAGATTTGCTCCTCTGGTTCTAGAGGTGCAATTACTTGGGAGAGGAATGGAAGTTAATTCCGAGTAGGGACACTTGTGCTATGGTCTTAAACACTGTCAACAGCGGCCGAAAACATGCATGTTTCAGCCTGAAGCTTGTCTTTAGCCAAAACAGCTGTAGATTATATTCCTCTCCAGAACGCAAATGCTGAACTTTAATGCAGCAATGTCCTCCTTCCAGAAATTACAGGGCCAAAACAAACCTGTTGGAAGAGCATGAAGGAGTGTGGTAGACATTTTCACTGTCAAATATCCAGTGGCCTTTACTTTAAAGCAAAGCTTTACTTTAAAAAAAATGTAACATTTGCAGGTCACAATCAGAAATCGTCCATTTGGAAAGCCGAGCTGCAGTGACGGGCAAGACCCATTACAGCTATGGAAAAATCATCTTGGTCCTGCTTGCTTCTGCCTCTTGCACACCTAATTCCCCATGAAGCAGCAGACAGGTCCCCACCCCAGTGCAGGCTCATATCAGATAGGTTGAGGGACTCAGCTCTCACCTTCAAGAAGTCCTCCTGGGTAGCTTAAGTGCTCCTTGGCCCGGTTCTCATAGGTAAACATCTGTCTGGGATGTGCCACTTCAGATTTTAAATGTGGGACTTGGAGGACATGAAGTTCCCCGCCAAAGACAGACAAATTTCAAGGCAGAAAAACTGGAGTGACCACAATAAAACTGAGCTAGAACATTTGTCTCTGGCACTTTTGTTTTCTGCATGGAGGAAAGGTTTTCATAAGAACAAACACCCCTTCCTGTGAATGCCAAAGGTTTTCATAAGAACAAACACCCCTTCCTGTGAATGCCAATCTGAAATCTGAAGTGCTACAGCCCAGAGGTTCACCTCCACAGGACGGCCTAGGCTAGACATGCACATGGTGGGCATGTCATGAGTGGAGCTGGCTGGAGCTGGGGTCAGACTAGATGGCCCGGGAGACCCCTTCTGACTCGCTCTGTTTCTATGTTCAAGGCTCCAGCTGCAGCCTTGCGGCCCAGAACTGGTGAAGGGGCTGAAACTGCAGAAAGGATCTGTTTTCCTTTTAAAACTTTCTCCAGTCCTGAGCTAACATCCTGACTAGACCACCACGATGTGCTGCATGCAGTGCTGCCTCGTAAGGCCCTCGGAAATGTCAGCTGGACCAGGCGACAACTGCGAAACCAGCCCTCCCTAGAGCAGCACCCTTCAGCTGTGCTGGATGGCAACTCCCAGCCGTGCTTCCCAGGAAATGTTGAGGGCTGTAGCCAGAAAGGGTGTGCTAGAGTGTTGCTGAGGACTGGTCAGCAGACCACCTCCAATGGATCTTAGCATCACTGGCAGCACAAATCAAAGGGCAGGTTTGGGACCCAGGTGTCTAAGGAGCACTTTCTCCTAATTATAACTGTGCTACATTGTCCAGACACTGAGGTCATCGTCAAAGGCCCATCTCTACGTGTGCCCACTCTTGTGTGACAGAGCTCCAGCTGCACACCTCTGTCCCCAGAGGAACATAACTGGTCCCAAGGCTTTGCATTCCAGCGCATGGCAAACATCTTTCCATTGGTCAGTGCTCTGACACTTCCGCTGTGCGGGCAGCTGGTGATCCCTTCTTAATATGCGGCTACTCTTTTTGTTTTCGGTGAGGATTTTGA